GCAGAAACGTATGCGTGTTACATACGTCTCTGTTCTCAACAAAGCGCACTGTATGTAATAATAACTGGTGAATAACATAGCTGAGCATAAAACCATGGAAAAATGGATTTCTAATGCGGTATCATTTTCGTCCCTCCATCCATCCGTCTGTCCCATTTCTGGAACAGGTCTTGCTTTCAGTGCAACAACTGAGGTGGGGGCATCAATCGTGCCCCCGATCTTCCATATCCAACTTATCGGATCTACAGTGGTGATAAGGACCGTGAAAGTCCGGTCATTTTTGGCGGAAATTTCTTCAGAGTACGTAGATAAAGGGAACTGGGGTCATAATCACTTGATAATATTTTTAAATACATTGCAATTACCATATTAGGAACTACAGAGAAAAGAACAGGAGTATGTTATAAGTTTATATGCATGTGACGATGAAAAGATGATGATATCGAACTGCTGATACCCAGTATGAACGTAAAAAAACATAGTAACACAATAACAGTTATGGTTGCGAGAAAGCAGAAAAGATTGGAAGGGGACAAATATAAGTTGAAGAGAGGCGTTATTGGGTGTCTGGAGGATTATGATGGAATTGTTGACCCAACCCATCCTTCTTACAACCCATTTACTATTTAACATTTGATGTTAGATCAATTACTGATTAAATTACTTCAAAATCCGGATATATATATACTATTTTGAAATTAGTATTTTGTTTATTCTTACTTATAGGTACATGTATTTTATATAGGAAGATAACTTGATAGCAGTGAGACTTTTTTTGTAACTCTTCCCCATAAAGCGATATATATTTTCACGCTATTTTTTCCCGCAAAGAAATACAGCATCTAAGAACATGGCAAAGAGGTACCTAATGGGAAATTACCCATGATTCCTAGACAGTCGGTTTACGGTGAAGTGATAGTCCATAATACGTATTATAAGGAATTTTCCATGTTTGGCCTCATTTTGTTCAGATTTACACCAGGATCACGAAAATATACCATATGTAATTGTGGGGAACTAGAAAATTCCCCACAAACTGAGCAAACCCCATAACGTTGGTCCTAAGACTGCTGAGAGTTCCCCACAACGTAGCGTATGCTAACCCTCTCTCTCTCTCTCTCTGTGTCTGTCTGTCTGTCTGTCTGTCTGTCTGTCTGTCTGTCTCTCTCTCTCTCTCTCTCTCTCTCTCTCTCTCTCTCTCTCTCTCTCTCTCTCTCTCTCTCTGCAGTGTCTCTGTCTGTCTCTCTCACTCTGTTTGCCTATCTCTCACTCTTTCTGTCTCTGTCTCTTTATATATATTTATATCTACATGTGTCAGTTCAGTAACATCATCTCTAGGATTAGAAGCCTAACATTTCACAAATTTTCAATGGGGATTTGTCAGTGTGAATTCACAATGGTTCTTTAAGTATTATCTGTATAAATGTTTCCAATTTACACCCATACCATCATGAATATTAAAAAGAGTTCCCTTCTTTGTGTACCAAAGAATATATTCCCAAATATTTCCAGCATAGAAATATCTTTACCATCTATACTATGACTGATGTTCATTGTTCTATAAATACAATATCTTGTCGTAATTATCACAGAGGCACAGTTAAAATATAATTATATAATGATAAACTGGTATATGTAGATGTTCAAAGTCCCAATATCACAATATGACTTGAATCCCGAAATCCAGGACAGTGTTTGGTCATGGTCATGATCACTGCTTTAAGCTCACCCAATTCACCATGTGAGCTTATGGCGTGGCGTGGCATCCTTCTGTCCCTCCGTTAACGTTATCTTTAAAACACTACTTTAAAACCAAAGACCTGACCCTGCAGGGGGCAGAAAGGATAAGCATTATTGAAATAGAGGTAAATAAAAATTTATGAAAGGAAAGGATGCTCTGGACCTATAGAGGAATTGATCCAGTTCGTTCCAGTTCCCTCTTGTTGGACAGAACCAGAAAAGTTCAAAAGAACTGGATATACAAGTAATTGTGACAAGTCTGCTGAAATAATGTAGGCAATACAGGTTCTTTAGGCCTCTTGTTTCAAAACTGGAAAACATGATATTCTTTTAAACGATACAACATATTTTTTGTTTTCTGACTCTTCAATTTTTGTTTTAACTGTTTCTGGATATTTGACACTTGCATTATTGTTAGAAATCCAATTTTTCCATTATGTTTTATTCGGATTCTGAAATAAAAAAAGTATTGTTTCTATTTCTTCTGATATGCTTAATCATAAATATCTATAACTTCACTCGTACTCTTTATATAATTCTAACTAATAAGTTTACATGGAGAATAATACTATTCAGAATAGTTTCCTAATTGGATTATATACATAATCAGATCTACAGAATAGAATTTATCGGAAAATATTAGTTTTCTAATACAAAATATATTTGTACATTGCCTTACTTATTACCGATACAAAATGTTTTAAAATCCGAAGTTGATCAATGCTTTCTGTCTTGCATTATGAGTAATATTTGCCTAGCAATACAGGTACGTCATAGGTATGGATAGACACATTCTGAACTCTTCCCAACTTTATTGACCTAGTTTAAACAAATTCTTGTTTTTTTCAGTCCATGAAATAAGTATGGTAGGTAAATTTGGTAATGCTTTAATTGCTATGTATTGACGCATGATATACAAAGTGTTGTTCTTTACACCCACTAATACGGTAAACAAGGACAACTCAGGGTAGAGATTTGGTATCAAGTTTTTGTATAGTCTTTAAAATCAAGAATTACCTCCCCTTTTATTTACATGCAGTTTTTTTTTACTCTTTTTTTTCATTCTTTGTACAGAAAAAAAATAAAACTTTTAATAGACTAGTTAGATGAATGCAAATAAAATAAACAGTGAGAATGAATGTCTTGTCATTTTATTTATGTATATATGCCACAGTTATCCATTAGAAATTACTGGGTGGCCAACACTAAAAACTCAAAAGTTGGGGAGGGAGCCTATTACTGGACAATGACAAAACATTTATCAGTGTTTCTGCTAAAACTCCAGTGATGGTAGAGGGCTTATTAACTGGTACTATGTTGGTGACAAGAAGAAGGACGTTTGTACACTAGTATTTAGCACCTTTCAGTTCACATTATGAATTAGATAAAATCAAATCATAGATCAAATTGCATGGAACATGTGTCCTTCAAGGCCTAAATTTGAAATGTAAAAGGCAACGAAGAAAAATCTAAATTTGTCAATAGAAATGTCAAAATCTAGATGGAAAATGGACTTAACTACAAAATTCAATTAATTTCAGGAATTGCACTATTGCATGATTTAAAAAAAATAGGTACATATGTATATTCTGACCATGCTACTATTGAAATGAATTAGAATATTATGGCATGCAAATTACAGAAAACCTTGGGGACTAAGAAAAACACATTTCTCACGTGACTCTGTCTCAAAAGCAGATGATGGAAATTCCAGTATTATAATTGGAATTCCAGTATTCTGATTGATATAAGTTTAAAGAAAAATGGTAGTTCTAGAAACTGATTTGCTCTTACATATAGGACTGGGGTTCAAAACAAATATCCAAACCAAAACGGCATAAAATGGCAGCACTGGAGAGCAAAGAGGACAAAAACGAAAACATCAGGACCTGGAGACATAAAAACAAGAAAGAGAACGAGACTACAAAGAAAAATTACGGAGAACAAAAATAGGTGATGTATAAAGAAATAATGGAAAACAGCAAAACAAGATAGCATTAAACAGTAATAACGTGCAGGTGCTAAATCAGACAGGAAATATCAAATACGGAGAGGGCTTTAAACAACAGTAAAACGAAATACAATGGTTGATTTAACTGCGAGTTGATAAGAGTTAGATTCCAAAACAAAAATCACTGAAGACACCATGTCACATCCTCCTCATTATAAAGGAGAGAAACAACCAATGTAGGTGAGGGGACAACATTATCCCTTTACACAGGAGACACGAAAACAAAAGAAGACAACATTGAGTAAAATGTTAAAAAAACATCAAAACAAATAAGGGTAGTCCATATTAGTCTCAATACATTAGAGACACTAAATCAAAGGGAGACAACAATAACTTCAACAAAACAAGGGAAGACAACACTAATCATCTTACCAAGGAGACACCCAAGCAAAAGAGAGCTAGACAAAATTGTCCTCTTTACAAAAGAGACATTTAAAGCATGGGAGGCAATATGAACCACAATACAAAAGAGACGCCAAACGGGGAAGGGGGCATACGTTGATAAAGTAGACACAAGGAAATCACCAATAAAGGAGACAACAATTATAGAGTTTAAGAGACACTTCAAAGCAATCAGGAAGGCAATGGAGAACTCTAACCAGGAAACCCAAACCAGGAGAAATTTCATATTAAAGAATTAAAAGTTGGTATGTTTTGATTAGATACAACAAATGTAATCATGTATTTTTTTTAATTGGTGATGCGGTTTAACAAAATTTTTAATTTAACTGTACTTCATTCTTGATTTATGAAACTATAATTACATCATTCAGGCCTTTATTAAAAAAAACCAAGACCTCACAACTAGTCTTTTCAAATTATGGTATGGCCGTGACACTTCCCTTTTCCTTTCCTCAATCAGTTCGAAATAAATGTTCACTTTGAAACCTTGTGTGCTGTTAGGCTATTTGCCTTCTTTCATTTTTCACCGATCTCTTTAACACTTGATTGGCATTATCAAAACGAAGAGTGCTATTTTTTTCCAGTGGCATTTTCATTTGACATTTCTTGTTTAATGTCGGAATTTGTATTCATTTCGATATAGTAATATCGCGGACTTAAAAAAGGTTTTAATCGTGTGAAGTCTCACTTTGGCGTCTTACCTAGTTATAACCCATAACCTTTCACCCTAGTTGAACTGAAAACTTTGAAACAGACTATAGTGAACCCTAGGCAGATGTTCGTCATGATGGATAACAGCCAATGAAATTTAAGTTTACAACGCAGTGTTGGAGTTACATTTCTCTGACCTCGGAAGCAAAGGAAAACACGACGAGTCGGTAACAGAATTTGGATAATTCCTCATAGACGACTAATTCTGAAAATGAATAGGTAAGCCGTATATAGTAACTAGTCGGTATTGAATAAACCTTTTAATTAACCATACATTTAAAACTGTGGATTCGGTTGGAAGGCTTATTCGGCTAACACACAGGTTGATCCTGTTTGATCTGTATGTTTTGTGAATTTTCAAGCATCGTGTATTGCAATCCTCGTTAATCATCAACAATGAGTGTTATCGGTGTATTTTACGTGAATTGGACTTCAGTGTTATACCAAACATACATCAATGGGTTGTTACGTTATGGCGGGTATTTCAACTCCGTACATTTTTGTATTCTGTCATGACGGCACTAGACGAATATGAGGGGGCGTCTCGGAAACTATTTCACTGGTACCTGACCGACTTAGCAAAGGCATATGCCTGTTTCAAAGTTTTTTTGTGCTGGAAACTTTTTTTACTGACGATGTCGTAGTACAGCCTTGTACTTAACATGTACAACATGTATACTGTAAGCCCAAAACCACTCAGGGTTTACTCAACGGTATCGTTTCATTCCCTGGCAATTCGCCAACACAAGTAAACGTGTGGTGGTGAGTTGTTGTAGATATGTGTAGACTGACACATTATGTATTGATTAACACAATGTTGTCATTTTATGCTTAATACAATTTCAAGACAGCATGATGGAGGAATAAATTGCCTTCTCTGTTTGACATTTTTAACTATTAGATAAACACTGCATTTTCTAGTTTCTTGAACCCCCCCCCCGAAAGAGTTCGGACAAAGTTTACATTACACCAGATATCCCAGTGTACAGTCATACATTTTGTCACATTCTGATACTTGATTCTGCATACACTCTATGTGGAAACATAAATAACATTCACAGAGTAAACATTTTATACTCTGGTGTTTTCTTTCATTCTTCAAAGATGATAAAACATTTTTTTTCCCACTCGTTTGGAAAATATACTTTTTATTTTATTTTGGGAAGAAAAGTGATCTTTAGGGGGGAATTTGAAGGTGCAAACTGTATCTTTTGTAAATTTAGCATTTTAAATCCTTTTGGGATATTCAACCCCACAGAGCCGCAAAAATTAGTCCTGCTAATGATGCACATTTTATCTTGTTAATGTAAGCAAGACATAAACCTTAACAAAGTCAATTTTAAATTCTTTTGTTTTATAATGGTGACATAAAAGTTGAAAATGTTACTTTCAGGTCATTAAAGGTAAATAGTTTTCATATTCCTGATAGTTTCTTTTGGGGCTTTGAAAACCAGTATGGTATAGGCTTTCTCTTCAAACTAAATAGTTCTTATTTAGTTAACCGGGATTTGATTTTGCATTTTCTGGTTTTTGTGCAGATGATTTTACCATGAGCAGTCAGAGCAGTGGTGATCAGCCAGATGATTCTGAAAATGTAGCCCGCCCAGTTAGTTTACCATCACAAACCCATGTACACCACAGATCATTGGCGAACCTTGCTCAAGGACCCACCACATATCAGGTACCCCAGCTACCATTATACACACAGCACTGCAAGTTGTAATGTAGTTTACTGCACAAACATTGCAACATTGAATATGGGTTCCTTCCAATTTCTAGCAATATTTGTGGGTTAACACTCATTATTTGTGGATTGGAATTGATTAGAAGGAGAGCATATAGTCGCCGCTTTGTCCATCCATCAAAATTTTGTTGGAGCATAACACATATAACTTTATAGGTAGATGAATCTCAGCAAGGAAAAGTGCAATGCACAAGAACCATCACTCTCTTTTGCATAATTTAGGAGTTATTGCCCTTTGTTATTTTTCATACTTAAATTTTGTTTTGAGCATTACACTAGAACTGTAACAGGTATCAACAGGAAACTATAGATAGATAGATCATGATGAGGAGAAGTGCAATGTACCAGGACCATATATCTCTTTTGCATAATGTAGGAGTTATTGCCCTTTGTTATTTTTCATACTTAAATTTTGTTTTGAGCATTACACTAGAACTGTAACAGGTATCAACAGGAAACTATAGATAGATAGATCATGATGAGGAGAAGTGCAATGTACCAGGACCATATATCTCTTTTGCATAATGTAGGAGTTATTGCCCTTTGTTATTTTTCATACTTAAATTTTGTCCCGTTCAGGAAGCATAACATGTCTCTGACAGTCCTTGTTATTTTATGATTTATACTCCAAAATGCTCCACAAACATGACCAGTGTTAATGGAAAGCTAATCTAAGAGAAAAAATACTATATATTTTCAAGGGGTCCTATGATTATGAGTTGTGATGAGACTATTACAGTTTCATTGGCATCATTCTTTACAGCTGGTTTAATCATATTGCTCTCTCTAATTCCATTGCCTTGTTGATCCCATCTTTGAGGATTTTGTTAGGATGTCCATTTGGAACTAATGATAGTGCATATCCTCCTAGCTAGATAAGATATTGATCATTTTGTATTTCTAAAATGGCATGAACAAAAATGGAGGTACTGATGTGTATCTAGGTTTAAAATATATGTCCATGCATATTTTGTCTTCACATTTTTCCACCAAGACATCAAGAAATGGAATACTCCGGTCGCTAGTTTCCAATGTAAATTTTATATTGGTGGCGAGTGAGTCCAGTATTTTTGATAAATCATTTAGTTTTGCCTTTTCCATATTCCAGATTCCAATCTTGAAAAGTACTAGATGGATCTCTCTTAAATTTCATATCTAGGTTCCTCTTGGTTTTTATACGCCTGTTGAAAGACGGGCATATTATGGTATGGTGCTGTCTGTCCAGTGTCCGTCGTAAACTTTTATTTGTCCGGAGATCTCCTCCTACATTTTTCTGCCGATCATTATGAAACTTGGTAGGCTTAATCACCATGATATGAAGTTGTGTTTTCCTGAACAGGGTTTTGATTTGGTGATTTGAATGGCCCTTTGTTTATTTCACTATAGAAATCTTGTCCCTCCTCCCAACATTTTTCAGCCGATCTTTATGAAACTTGGTAGGCTTAATCACCATGATATGAAATTGTGTTTTCCTGAACAGGGTTTTGATTAGACAATTTGAATAAGAGTTATGCCCCTTTGCTGTTTTGGATATTCACAGACATATTTTGTTCCGCTTTGCAGAACTCTTGTTAGTTAATTATATATGCTTTAGTTTGATGTTCCCTGATGTTATTGTAAAGTATCACTTTACAGGTAACATAGTGAAAGGTACAATGGTAGGGGACATTTTCGTCTTCATGGCGGTTCCCGTCTTCATGGCGGTTCCCTTGATCTGTTAATAATCTGTTGTTAAAGAAATTGTATAAGCTACATGGTGGTCTTCAGAACAATGATGACGCCACATGATCACTCTGGTTATGACTTCGTATATATATATCTAGGAAATTTATTAAGCATCATGAAGATTTAGAAATAAAAACGCTAATGCTTAATTCAACATATTGTTTAAAGTTATTTTGATATATATGCATACAGATCTTTAAGATTCTTCACCATTGTGAAATTATGAACTTTTGTCTTCTAAGGGTGCATTATCAAAGTCAGCCTTGAATAGACGGATGTTGACAGGAGGAACAGGTGCATCACAACCTGCTCATCCCTCACAGTTACCTACCATTCTACCGACAGGTACGTAAGTAACATTCACATCCATGGATATCAACTGAAGGTCAAGGTCACTGTAAATCTATAGATTAAAGATAAAATGATGCATTATATTCAATTTGCAGGAAGAGTTTCAGTTTTAAGCAATCTTTACTGAACTTGTGTATCAGATGAAAACAAGTTTAATTAGTTCCTTAAAAGTTTCATTAACTATCAATCGTGGGAATTCAAAAAGATTATGGAATTTAATTGACAAAATAGGATCATCTGTTAGTTATAAAATTGAAAAGAATGTTGTGTTCTGATTTTGTGTTGAAGGATATTGGTTTTAAGAAGTATCTTTCACGTGAAAATATGTGAAAAATCATTGACTAATTGAGTAAATCAGAAGACGTTTAGTAACCATCATCCTTTCTCAAACACGTTTCAGGTATACAGATTGGCATTTCCATGGACACTAGCAAGTCACTGTCCACAACAGCCTCCCTGGTGGCAGTGCCACCTCCAACAATTGTCAGCGTTGGTATGGCAACGCCAAGTATTGTACAAATCAGTGCTACTTCTTCTTCATCACTTCTCAGCCAGGCTCTTCCCCTGACTGGTAACATTCGGGGGGCGTCTCAGCACCAGAATCCAGTATTCCCGACACATCTCCCCAGAGGTCAGTGTGTTTTGTCATATGATAAGATGAAAAATTATGGCATTACTTAGCCAAAAAAAGAAATTTTTTTTGTGTAACCAGCTTGAATGTAAATTCTCTCTGTGACAACAGCAGAATTTATATGATTGAGAAAGAGAGGGGTTGTTGTAAATCCAGATAAAGCTTTCACCAGATTCCAGTTTCCTCTGGCCGTTATGCCAGATGATTGACATTTCAACGATTAAATCCTTACATGCTTTTTACAGTACCAGTCTACCAAGTCACAGAAATGATCATACTAAAAGGGAGATACTGAGAGTGTTTAATGTCTTGATTTGTATTTGAGTACTTTACAAAAGAAATTTTTGTACAAAATACATACAAGTATGAATTACATGTTTCATTTTAGTTAAGTCACAATCATACCAGAAATCAAATTAAAAGTTTAAATAACTTTTATCAATAAATTGTTTTTCATTTTGAATTTGTAAAACCAAATAAATAGTGGTAACTTTATCAATATCGATTTGTGTTTCTAGGGGCAGCGGCTGCAGCCTCTGTATTAGCCTGCCCTAAGTCTGTAATGTCTGCAGTGCCAGTCCTACGTCACAGTGCAGGCGCTATCCACATACCGGGTGCCACACCACATGGTGGCCACACCCTAACAACACCCCGGAGCCAGCTTATAACCCCAAACATCCGACCAAATACACCTCCTCAGACCCACTCCCCGGCAGCCACTGTCAGTCTGGCTGGTGTTCCAACATCAGAATCACACAGGTTAGTGTCCTGTTTCATTAAGTGTCTAATTACAAAGAATATATAATTCAGAAAAACAGTTGAACATTTTTTCTCTGCTCACATAGCAAATATTATGACAGATTTGAGACCTTCCTTATTGTTCTGTATAGATGTAATGTATATAAATAGATATTGTTTTTATTTTGACTGTGTATGACTGTTGTAGGGTAGGTATATCTGTCCAAGCATCTGGTGCTTCGAGTTCTGCCTCTAGTATTCATATCAAGCTTCAGTCACCATGCACCACTGCGGAGCCCCTCACAAAACAGGTCCTGTCTCAATCAACAAAGCAGATACATGTCGCACAGAACCTCAGCTCCGTCCCTAAAGTCCTCATGTCTCAGGCGGCAGTCACACCTATCATACAGCATTCACTCAAGGCTGCAGCACCAAAACAAAACAAAGGTAGGTAACTGTTAAGCTGACAAATATAAAAGGACAAACAGATAGTTATCATAAACCAACGTGTCGCAGAAGAGCTAAATGTTAATCATTAATTAAAGAATTCCAGCTTATGAATAAACAGTGGTGACACTTAAAGGATAAGCAATGTTTGATTTGATTTCATTGAATAATTGAACTCCCTAGTAGCAGACGAGTGAGCACAAGTGTTGACATTCAGGAATAAGAAAAATGAAATTATTGAACTTTTGACACCAACGTTTTGAATCGAAATTGATTTTTGGCGAAATTCTCCAAAGTTTAGACTACATATTTATTGTTCTATAGATGGAGACATTTATGTGAAATAATCTGACGCTTTTAAATTAATTAAATATTACCTAAGTAAATTTAGAAACTCCATCCCAAAAAATCATATTATTTCAGCTGCAGTTCCAGCGGTTGTGGCGCCATCTTTATCTTCAACAGTCATCTCCCCTTTGTCTATTCCCTCTGTAACTCCAGTGACGGCACCGTCTGCAGCCTCTACTATCCCTATAGGTAAGATTTTCTCCTGTCCATTACATTTTAATGATTGCTTGGCACCATTTGTTTTTCATTTAAAACTTCTTCTAAAGAAGCATAACACTTGTTCTTTTTATTTGTCAGATGCTTAGGATGATGTAGGGTTAGTCAGATCTGTTGAAATAAATTCATTTGACTTAATTTCAAGATATCTAGTGTCATATGCATTAACAAACAAAAACATTTTTAATTTACAGCTATAGATGTAGCATGACATGCAGTGATCACATACATGTATATGTACAGGAATGATAAAAAATGTTGTGATACTTATGGCTAAGGTAAATCAATGTCATGTTTGTGTTTATAGCTAAAGTTCCCCCAGTGCGACAGCCGACAGCAGCTGCCAGCTTAGCTGGAATCACACGTATGTCTTTACCTCAAGACACTAGCAGTTCCACACCAAGTCAGCAGCATGCCAAACAGACCCTCAGTTTACCCCAGGGACAACCTCACACCACACAGACTCATCCCCAGCCCCAGGGGCAAACCCATCCTCAACATTCACATCCCCAACCCCAGGGACAGACCACCAGTTTTGTCCCTCAGGCACATCGGCCTGCAAACATCGCCTTAAGTCATCCTGTGACACATGCAGACATTCGGCCGGAAAGGTAAGTCACATTTTCATGTGCCATTAACCAACTGAAATTTGGGAGCAATTTATATTTGGTTGTCATGAACATAATTTTGAATGGTCCCAAATGTGTTACTGTATAGTTGTAAAGTTTTGTGGAGCTGAAATTTTGTAGTTGTTCTTGTTTGGACTAGTTCACGTGTAAATGTCATGCAAATCTATGATTTGTATGCCTTTATACAGACTTAACAGATATTTTTCAGTCATTGTAGAAATATTTGTAGGGCATTCATTTTGCTCTCTCTTTCTTGACTACGAATATTACCAATTACACAATAGCTTTCATTAGATCTAGTGTATTTGTACAGCAAAGCTCGTTTACTGAAAGGCGGAAAGTCATAATAGTGGACGTAAAAAACCGTCTAAATTAATGAATTAATAATAAATAAGTGCATTGTAGACAGCATATAAAGTTGCCAGATTTTCAAAAAAATTTCGATCGCTGCCAATAAAGCATAGTATAAATCAAGATTTTTACATTTACTCAAACCGGGAAAAAACTCATTCTGGTGCTTTTAAAAGGAGCCAAGGTCACAAAAAATATTTTTTTTAATATAAAGTGGCATTCTGATAGGGTATCTATGTTTGAGTATTGTGTTTTAGACCTGCAGGGATCGCCCAGTTGTCCCAGTACCCAATGACGTTATTGTCCGAGTACCAACAGATCATGTATCACCAGCTGGCATCCCAGATACGACCTGCTCCAACAGGACTTTGTAAGTAAAAACCATTATCTGTTAGGTTATGTATACAGTTGATCCTTTTTAGTGTCAAACATTCAGTCGTTGCCATGTCTCGGGTAAAAATTTCCTGGCTTCGGTTCGAATGACCAAGTGTGATAAGTCAGCCATATCTGTGTTAACGAACCCTATTGTAATTTTTGATCAAGCATTAAGCTTTGCGTTTACACAGGTGCACTGGTAAAAGTTTGTTATTTTACAGAATTAGACAACCAAACTTCAAACAAAATACACTGTAGGCTGTTAACCATAAATCTACGGTTTTGTTCACTTTTTATACACATGAAAAGAAAAAGCAATGACTACTGTTTCGATGCAGATTAATGAAAATTCTTTGTCATTAACACATTTGTATATGATTTTAAATACATTTACTGGACATACATGTACATATACAAAGTTATATTTTATTCTGTTTTATGGTTTCGCTCTTAGGGTGCCGTATATATAAAGTTATGCTTCAGTGATGTTGTGGTGGCCTTCACCTTTTCGTAATGTACCTCAGTGCTATCGATGTTACATATTTATTGAGTTATGGTTTAAAATGTTGTTGGAACATGTTACTCTTACATTTATAAATCTGAGGACAATATTAAGTAAGGCGTCAATTTCACAGGGAGATTTTTCAATGAAGTGGCCTAGATTGCTGATATGAAATTACATAGTTTAAGCATATTATATAAATGAATGTCTTTCCTGACAATAATAAGTATAGGAGTATGTGTTCAGAAAGAAGTTGGTGTCTAGATTTTTTGGTTGGGAGTGTATAAGCTTTGACATTCTGTTGATGAATACTTCAGTGCCAGCTTCTGCACCACATGGATTGTCTGTCTCCTCAGCCCAGACGGTCAAGTTCAGTCCGATGACAGTAATGGGGGACCCGCTCAGACTACAGACATTATCCGTACACACTCCCTTCTCAAGTGCTTCAGTGTCGTCAGTGTCGGACAGTAAGTAGCTATCACGGATAAACACTAACTTGCTTTTTGGTCTACAGGAATAGTTACATATATTTCTTACTAGTGTAACACATATTAACAAGTCCATGTTTCATTAGAATGGAATTTCTTAAAACACAACCAGCAATCGGTCACCTTCATCTGATAAATAACCTGTGTGAAATGTACCAGCACTGATCTACATATGTAGTCATCGAAACGTCATGCTCAAATCTTCTTCTGGATGAAATTCTATTCAGTTGACATTACCAACCTGAGGAAAATGTTCTGAAATAAGTAACTCTTTTTTTTGGAAATAGAAAACAACCAAAAGACATAAAACTCATTTATTTTTTATCAAGCCTTAGGTTTGACAACTTTCATGTAACACTCCTGTATTTTAGCCAGTCTTGTAAAGGAAGTTATTGGTAAGAGTGATATTGCTTGTACAGGTCTGAAGAACCACAGATTAAACCCTTTTTTTAAATTTAGTAATCTTCGTCTGATTGACTAGTGCTATTTTTTTTATCTTGACAGTGTTATTAATTATTTTTATATTGTTTGACTGTAAGGCCCTACACCTTTGTGTGCTTGCAGGTGTTGCGAGGTCATCAACACCTAATGATTCATCCAGTGGGATTTCCAGTGCCGCCTCCACTAATTCCATTCCTGTTCCGGCCCTCTCTGCAATTGCCATGGCAACCTCTTCTGCAGTTTCCATAGCTCCAACCCTTTACTCGGTGAACCCAGGGACACCTCATCCAGGCTCCCTGACTCCACAGCATTCATCTTCCCAAGGAGCAACGACACCAGTCAGTCAGCCCAATGCCTCACCACGCCCCAGCATACTCAGAAAACGTACCAATGAAGGGTATGTATCATTTTTGACTCCACAGTACCAGTAAGGTTTAGCTTTTCTGTCTGTGTCCTCTTTGCTGCATCATTAAGAACTCAAATTCTATTAGAAATTTCTCAGACAGTAGAAGTAAGAGACGCTCACACTATACAGTATATTTTGTAGGTACTTACAGATTCATATTTAAGTTCAAAATGTTGTTTCAATGTTAAATACACATAGTTCTTTTATCTTAAATCTAGGTTACTGCATTTTACTTTCATGATTTTTTCTAACCATGAAAATGTCAAACATTTCTACACAACAGACAATTTTGGATCATAGGTCAGCTCAAAGTCAGGACGAAAAAACGCCAAAAAACCATGAAATTTCAGATTACAGGAATAAGTTTTAGATTGACTTGTAGTTAGGAACACATTTCAATGAACAATTTACTTCAACATTTGGTGGTAGCTCTCCCAATCTGAGAGATGTTATCATTTCTGTGAGTCAAACTGGTGAAGACAAAATTTGATGGAAGTATTACTTTTATGATAAGATCTGTTCTTTAATACTGATTGCCATAAGGAAGAGTGTTATCTGATTTGTCCTTATTTTACTTGTTCAATAGAAATGTCCCAGTGAAGAAGCCAGTCTGTGGTCTCAACACATTGTCTGAAAGACACAGTCCACGACCAGACTCTAGAACAGACTCGGCTCCTCAGTCCAACACTAGTTCTCCAAAGACACCAGCCACACCTGCCGGGTAAGTGTACATCTAACCTATCTAGCAGAGTTTAATCTCTTGGCTTTTTTTTTCTCCTGACAATGTATCCACAAACATCATTAGTTGGTCTGTTTTCATGCTCCCCTGACTTTTTATTTCATGCATAAAACGTTGCACATGTCAATTTGTCAGATTCTGTTATGTCCAAGACAGCATCAATGTCATGTCAAGAACAGATTTGGAATATTACATCATGTTCTACACCTGATCAGATTCTGGTTCACACTTACCCTATAGTATCATAACATCATGTTCTACACTTGGTCAGATTCTGGTTCACACTCACCCTATAGTATCATAACATCATGTTCTACACCTGATCAGATTCTGGTTCACACTTACCCTATAGTATCATAACATCATGTTCTACACCTGATCAGATTCTGGTTCACACTTACCCTATAGTATCATAACATCATGTTCTACACCTGATCAGATTCTGGTTCACACTTACCCTATAGTATCATAACATGTTCTACACCAGATCAGATTCTGGTTCACACTTACCCTATAGTATCATAACATCATGTTCTACACCTGATCAGATTCTGGTTCACACTTACCCTATTGTATCATAACATCATGTTCTACACCTGATCAGATTCTGGTTCACACTTACCCTATAGTATCATAACATGTTCTACACCTGATGAGATTCTGGTTCACACTTACCCTATAGTATCATAACATCATGTTCTACACCTGATGAGATTCTGGTTCACACTTACCCTATAGTATCATAACATCATGTTCTACACCTGATCAGATTCTGGTTCACACTTACCCTATTGTATCATAACATCATGATCTACACCTGATCAGATTCTGGTTCACACTTACCCTATAGTATCATAACATGTTCTACACCTGATCAGATTCTGGTTCACACTTACCCTATTGTATCATAACATCATGTTCTACACCTGATCAGATTCTCAGTTGTGTAGGAATGGAGGTATTCATGTCTTATGGACAGTTTTAGTGAGGATAATATTTGTGTTGAGTTGGTATGTCATTTTACTGTTATTTTAAGGAAAAGATATTTGAAACAGCTGCATTGTCTGTTGCCTTCCTGCTAGCTGTTTAGAGGTATAAAGCAAGTATGCTTGTATACAGAGAATAGAGGAATGGGATTTTCATAAATTCAGTCCCAGTATACAAAGAAATTGATATACAAATAAATCATGTTATAGTTTATCATCTATGCTGCTGTGTGCAAAGGAACACCATTGTCAACATGACTTTTTTTATAAGACAACATGTATTTTGATACATCCTTTTCAGAATTCCCATCATACACATTTAGTTAATTGGTGCTTGCAACAGAAACACAGTTTAACTTATATCTTACTTTTTTTTCAATAAAATTGAGAGAAAATTAATATTTATGTATTGATGTACTGAACATTTTTTGTTTAATTGACAGTGAGAGTCAGTCATCTACAGACACAGCACTTTCAAGCGAGGCTACGACTCCAACACACAACTCCATGGGAGACCTAAAAATAAAACAGGAACCTTTGGACGCAGTGGAAAATGGTGAGTTAGAAACTTTAGTATGTTGGAAGTAGCACTTACACATGATAACTTGACAGTGAAAGGATTGATTACTGGGAAAGCTATATTTCAATATTATTTGTCATGAAAAAGCAGGTCATTGAAACTTTTCCATTTTGTGAGCTGATTTGGTGTAACAGCATTCATCCATGTTTTGATTATTCTGCAGAATAGTCGAGGATTTATAGTTTTCTTTGTGTTTCTATGTGTTTAGGGTTTCCAACAGCTGGAGCTATTGCTGCCTCCCTGTCTGCCTCTCTACCCAACTCGATGGAAGCGTCTCCTCGAAAGAAACCCAGGAAACAGTTACTGTGAGTATATAGACACACAGAACAAGACATTTCAATTTTAATGTAACTTTAGTTTCTTAGGAAATAGGAAATAAAGCTATTTTATGGATGTCGTATAGCATTAACCACGTCTGTCTGTCTGTCCCGTTCTTTCCTGATCAGAATCAATGTCAATTAATCTTGAGAACCTCGAAACAGAATTCATTCATGTTTATCCTGTAGTATCATCACATCATGTTCTACACCCACATTTGACAATTTCTATATAGAAGGTCATTCTTCATGTCTTACCGATGTTTTCTTGTAATGTGTGAATTATTTCTACATTAATTTCTTGCATGTAAGCAAGTGTTCCAAGATGGAATTACTTGAAACCATGGTACATCAGTTTGATCCCCTGTGTTTGACTTGACATCAGCCAGATCACAAGTTGGGACTGTTGTTATAATATCAAGGGTTAATGTAGAATATAGGGAATACTACCACTACCTTTTATGGAAGCAAGGGAATGATTGGCCTATTTTTAGAAATGGAGAAATTCCTGATCGCCCTGTTGGTCAGAATTCAAAACGATGACATACAGGAAGGTTACATGAATAAAATGTGGTTTGACTGATATTTCTGTTTTTCATGATTTCATGATTTGAAAATACCTTATGTAACAATATACCAATTACTTCTCTCTTCGGGAAAAATTTTCTTTATTTTTTTATAGGAAATTTAAACCATGTTTTCAGTATATTTTCTTGATAGGGAATTTGTTTATAATCAGAGGGGAAAACATACTACTTGAAGAGTGTTTTTTTTTCTGGTAGTAAAATTTATCTAAATTAATCCCTGGATATTTTCAGACATGCCAACGAAGAACTGCGTGATAACTCCTCAACAGACGAGGACGTGGAGAAGGTAGAAGAAATTAAAGAGGAAGTGGCAAACCCAGTTAAAAAGGAGATGAAAGATGGTATGAGCTCTTTATCATAAAAAAAATGCTGCTATTTTTCCCCTCAGCAAAAATAAGGTTTTATGTATATCTTAAATAACGTTTTCTTAGAATGGCACCTCTATGTTATAGTGGTTGAGCCCATGTCTAGTTATAAGATATAGGAATCTGTGTATTTAGTTTTTGTCTTGGGTGTTATCAAGATTGGAATTGGTTGCTGTTTTCCAAGCAATAACCTTTCATGTTTATTTAAGAGAACGAAAAAGAAAAGGAAGAATACAGTGTTTTGAAACCTGGCATCAAGAGTTGTTCCTCTTGTTTTCTGTTTACTTGGCAGTTGGGATCCCCTGAAAGATTGTACAAAACATACACAAGTGAAGAGCACCTATTAATTCAAACTTAGAATTAGATACAGAGGAGGCAAATAAAATATTAAACAGCATCATACAGTTGTCCCATCCTTCAAGGACACATCAATGATGCCAAGGGCCGGCCTCAATAGCATAGGAGGAAAATCCAAAAAGATGAAAATAAAAATCAGAACATAGATATATTAGCCACAGTGAATGATTTATTACAATACACACAAGTGCTTATGGGACATTAGTTCTTGGAGAATTTTCTCCTTTAAGGGAGGGCATATAGTTGCTGCTGTCTTTTGCATAATATAGGAGTTATTGCCCTTGGTTATTTTTCATACTTAAATTTTGTCCCATTCAGGGTCCTTGTTTATGTTTATGTAAATTATAATGAAATGGAGTGCACAAAATTGTTCATTTTTTATACTTGGTGGTGTGTATTTAACAACCGAAGACTTTTTTATTTCAAATGGTTAACTGGATTATTTAATTAAGCTATGTTCCAAGTTAGTTTTTACAGGCCTGTTTTATGTTTCAGAATATGTTGATGATGAAGGTGTACGGTGGACAATTGAGAAAACCAAACCTTCCTTGTCTCTACTTAATTTTTATAATATTTCATGGAAACCAAAAAACAACCACTTCAACAGATATACGGATGTTAAACCTAAAGGTATGTTGTACATGACTATAAGACAGTAATAAGTCCATGCCTGGTAATAAGCCCACCCTCCCACATGATGTGTCATCGATGATAGTTTCAGTAGAAGTGCCAACATGTCCTACACCATGGTCTGGTAATAAGCCCACTTATCGATATCAGGGCTCTCGATCTGCCAGATTTGGGGCCGAATACCCAATGCAAAATAGTATCTTTTTTTTCCAATATAGACCCCAAGTTCTCCCAATTCTAAGGAAAACACCATTATTTTTCCCAATTCTAAGGGCCCTGGGCCTCAGTCCCAAAAGGGGGTGTGAGAGCCCTGGATATATATATAGTAACTACAGTAAAAGAGCCAACAGATCATACATTCTTGTAATAAAGCCCACGTCTTAAGATGTATGGGGTAAAGAAGACCTAATGTATTCAGTAAAGATGTTTGTAACCCCCAGATGAACGAAGGCCCACAGTCAACGAACTCTCCAATCAGAGAGGAGTAATGCAGAAAGCCAGTGGTTGGAAGCTGTTCCATGTGGCTGCTCAGCTGGATGATCTTGTGAGTGTCCTGTCAGAATAAACATGAAAATTGTCACAGTGCTAATACAACCTGTGATCCCTTTAGCATGACTACAAAGTCTTTTTCAAGTCTCTGTGTAGATTTAATTCATATATCAAAATATGAAATGATTGAGAGAAAAAATTGATGAATTGATAATATTCATTTGTGGGTTTGGATAGAAAAAAATTGTTGCTATGAATGTTTAGTTAAAAAGATGGTTTGTTTTTTTGTTATTTATGTTGTTTGTAATTTCAAGCTGTGTTGTTTTTTAGACGGAGCTTGAAAGGACTCTAAACAGTAAGGTGCTGACACTACAATCCTCTCTGGCCCCACAGCCACCTTCTCGTCACAGTCTAATGGAAGACGACCTCGGCCTTCTGCATGAACTTACGCAGGTACAACTCATCGTCTGTATACACATAGAACTGCTCTTCATTCTAACAGTATCCTACATGAACTCAACCAGATATCACTCATCGTCAAGCAAATTATATATACAGAGCTACTTTTCATTAAAATAGCTATCTTACTTGATCCGATACAGATATCACTCATTATTGGGCAACTTATTAGATTAGTCGGCCATAAAGGTATCCTGTCAGTCACAAAAAATTTAACTCACATCAGTCATAATAACAAATTTTTATGAAATAGAATCTGTCAGCCCTTTGTTTTTGTTTGTAATAGGCAGTGATCTATGACAGACCCACTGCTTTGTGTATGTTAGATTGTGACCCCTACCAAATTTACTATCAACACTATCCACGGTGAAAAATAATAGATATGAAGTAAACTTTGCTAGATTTTACAAATTTTGAGATACCTTAATGCAGTACATGATATTCAGCCTTGTTTTAAGTGATCAATGATTTAGATACTAGTCTAGAAAAGGACTTTGAATCAAACTTACTTGAAATTGTGATGTTGTGAACGATGGAATTAAGATTTAGAATCTGTTGTTTGTCTTATTCTAATTTTTATCTAATTGAAAAATATAGAAATAGTTTATTTAAAAGTCTTTGAAATAAGTAATAAATAGTATCAATAATTTTTTTCTCCAAAGAGCTTATACAATTTGATCTTCTAACAGAAATGTCATATTTCGTAGGTTTTTTGGGGTGTTTTTTATAGTTGACAGTTTTAAATATTTTCACCATATTTGGAAGTACATTTTCTTTTAACCTGTTTAATGTGATTATTGTTTTTTCCACACAGGGTAACATCCAGCGTTCACGGCTTATATCAGACCAGCTGGAGGAAGCTAAATCTAACATGTTCAAAGTGCTGGACCACAAAACCAAAATTACAGAGATTATTAATAAACACATGAGTAAAAGACCTATCAAGAAGAAGGAGAGAACGTAGCAGGAAAACAGAAAATTTTACAGACAAATGTGTTCAAAAATAGGAAACATAGGGCAGTTAGTATGACCTTTGACCCTTCCTCAGAGGAAAAGGATCTTCATGGTTCTGAGGAAAAAATCCAAAGACGTACATGATCTAGAGCTCTCTGAGGAATCTGCAGTCAGTACACTGTTAGAAGTACTGTGCTACAGAATAAACAGATAGAAAACACAAGGGGATGTGTGGAAAGAAGACTGTTTTTTTATTGTGAATGAAATTGTCACGTCAGGTTGGTTTCTAGAAATTGATTTGGTCCTTTGGAAAATGAACAGAAAGTTGGAGGGAATGCCAGTCTACAGTTTGATAATGATTCTGATGAACTGTGAAAGGATATCAGAGACTGAGAAGCTTCTATAACAAAGTGAAGTTTTACTGTAATATGAAAACTGGGAAAGAAAAGGGAAAAGCCTGGTCATAATGGAAACGAAAAAGGACGAACGTGTATACAGTAATAGACTTATTTTGTGTGGAAAAATGAATTTTATACAAATGATGAAGCCTAGTTTAGAGTTTTAAAGATTATGATTGGACGACGAGGCCATAAAGAATCATGGAGGAAAGGATTCGTTTTCTGTTTAATTGTGAATGTGATTGTGCAAACAAAAGCTGGAGCAGATTGACGAAGGATTTTTAAAATGTAACGGAAGAAAACGGCATATATATATATACAAATATATAGCATGAGAGAGTAGGTTTATGAGATATAGAAATCTTCAGAAATGAAATAGTTATTGAAGAATGTAATATAAAAATCCTGCAGATTGCCTTCGTTTGAAAACTAGCTTCAGTTCACACCTGTGGTACCAAAGGACTTTTACCATAGACAAAGGCAGGAAGAGTCGACTTTAATGAGAAGGGTGTGATAGGTTGTGAGAAAGTTCCCCATTTATTAGAGGTTGCGAGAATATATGAAATGCTAATTAGATTACTGTGAATCAATCAAGTCCTTGTTAAAGGTGTACTTTCTCCAGGTCTATATAATGTATTAATAAATTCATATGTATTAAATGTTGAAGGAGTCCTCATTTAATACGGAAATACTGGAGTTCTGTCATTTATGTTTTCATTGTTCAGTTGGTTTTATCTAGTTGTTCAACTAACTCATACTTAATATCCAACCTTTACTGAAAATAACCAATTTTAAAGTTGATGGCCGTCCTGTATACCAGGACCTTTTTGCCCGAGGTTATTTTCGCCCTTGTACCTAGTGGTGTTCCGATTGTCGAAAAAAGTCGAAAATCGCTCGACTACAACCGAAAATCAAGCACTCGACTAAGTTTTTGTAAGCTCGATTAATAAAAAAAATGGTTAACAACCTCCAGGTCCAGGACAGGGATGTACCAAAGCAACGTAGTGTATCGGGCCTAGTGTATCAGTACAAGAAGCAACCAGTATATGGCATACATTTCATAGTTTTCATTCAATATTCATAATAAAAAAAAACTGACGAGAATCTACACTAGTAAATAAAAATTGGGATTTCATTTGTTTTTAGAAAAGGAAAGTATATTCATAAATCAAGAAAACTTTAGATTTTAACTTTTAAACATAAGTACGAAAATACGGCGTAAGAGGATGTTGTCAAAATGGTCATGTTTGCCGTGATTTAAGATGGTGCAAACATAAATTTCCAGAAAATGATTTAAAATAAACCAAAATCTTGAGATATCTATACTTTTATCCCAGTGTTGGAAACGATATACATTTATGTGAGAAATTTAACACTTGTGAATTTACCTAACAGGGGATGTGATGAAGTATTAGCCTTGTTTTTTAATTCATTATACCATACCTAAATGTAACTAAAACTATTATCTTCTATTTTTATACACCTCTCCTTTTTGAGTGAAAGTTCATACTAAAGACTGAAATATTGAAAAGAAAAAAAATCATGTTTGAAGAAAGAAAACCTTGTCTCTCCTTAAAATTTACCCTTCAGTAATGAAATGAATTTCTGGATTCTTAAAAGGGAAAACCTTAAAATCCTACCAGATATTTCATTTTGAAAAAATACTCAAATTTTTATAAGTTAATCTAATACTGCTTACCAATTTAATTACAATGAATTGAGGCCAAATTAATGATTCAGATGAAAAAGAATCCAATTATGGAAGAAAAAAAGGACAAATGTCTATTGAATATACTGGTAAACATGTTAAGACAGGGAAAATATTGAATCTAGAACCAGAAAAGGAGGGATTAAATATTTTATTAACTTTTCCAGTAGAGAAAACTCTTGAATCCAGTACAAGTTAACAAGTTCGAGAATTTTTTTTTTTTAAATGTTTGGTTGACATTCTCAAAAAGAAAATGATGAAATACTGAGCTGACTGATGTTTTAAGAGAAGAGAACATTCGGATTTTAAATAGCATGGGAAAGAAGAAGAAATTCAGAATTTCACACTAAGCGTTACCATAAATGGAAACTTAAATTTTATACTAAACTGACAATCCAGACACTTTCACCAACTCTCCTGTCTGATTCATCACTTACTGTAAAATTTTTACAGTCACAAAATCCTCATTCTTTACCAGTGGAATTAAACCAACATGTGATCTTGTTACTTCTGACTTTCTGAATATATCCATATTCTATCCTCTCAATTAGAACAACATACTTTCTTTATTCTATGAATATCTTTGACCTATTTGAAAGGTCATTGGGGTCATATTTTTTAAAAAATACTATCAAGAATCATCTTTAATTTCAGAAGTCTTGTCAATTTGCAAGCAGGTGCTAATGAATTTTAAGTTAATGGATGTCATATTTGTCGAAAAGTAATTCCTCGTTTCTGGAAAACCAAAGTATCGACCAGGAAAATCCTTATATCATGACATCAACACTATATATTATATCTTGTGTACATTGGCACCAACAAGAATTATAAAACATGATAATTTTGGCATTTACACGGTAAACCCTTTTTTGATACTGTGTTAAGTGTGAAATCAGTGATGGCATTTTTATCATAAGACCGTTTTGGGCCCCACTCAGAATTGAGCATATGTATCATGGGACCCAAAGCCAGACAAAAAGAGGGGTCGAAAAACGCCAATGGACTGTTGCTGTTTAACTTCGTCAGTAGGCCAATTAGTTAAGGTTAATATCGTCAGTTGATTGCACTCTTTGGGCTTCAAAGTTACTTCTCTTTTTGGTGTTATATCCATTGAAAATGGCTGACAACGTTTGAATGTCGGACATTTGAGAAGACCGTTCTCACAGTAACACTGTTCACCTTTCTTTGAAAAAGAAAGAGAACGAAAGTTTTCCCTGCGTTAGAGAAGAGTAAGACTGTGCACAGAGTGAATAAAAGTAAATGATAAAACAATCTTGTATGGAAGTAATGTTAAAGATCGGGCACTAGCCCCTCCGGGTTCTTTGAAATCCACATACAAGTTGTAAAACAGGTTTAGCTTTTTCATCAGCCTGTGAACGATCATACTAATCTAAGCCTAGAGACATATTTTAAGCCTAGAGAAGCCTAGGGACGCCTAGGGCCTTGTTTAGTAATATATTGCTTAAAATAAATAATGTGACAAAGAAACATTACTTTTCAATGAAGTTATAGATACATTTGATATCATATGGGTTGCCAGATCCCAAATATTCAAACATTATATGCTGTACTCTCTGGGCGCACGATGTCCGCCATATTGACACACATAAACACCACTGTAGGTCCACAGATGGACAGTTGATCATCCCAACAACTGCAAAACTTGCAGAAAAACCTGGTCAAATCAAAAGAATGAGACATGCGAAAACAACAACTTTCGCAAACAAACGTGCCAAATTCAGCTGAAAATAAAAAAAGATTATAATTAATCCAAACATAGAAAGGCTCATCACATCGTCATGTGGCCTATTAGAGGTAGAACTTTCTAAAATGTTTGGAAAAAAATATCTTTATTATTTATTCTCATATTAATGCTATTAAATTTCCTATTAGAAAAATGTTAAAAATGTAAAAAAGAAAAAAATAGAAAAAAGTAATACTAAGATTTTTTTTTATTACAGACTAGAAATGTATATATATTGTAATTTCTAATTTCTAATAGTTTTGATTCAACGTTTTATTTTTAATTTTCCATTTCTACAGAGTAAAAAAATGTTCTGAATAAGGAGAATTAAGGTACAATGATATCCAATAAACATGATGAATGCATATATATTTAGAAAACTTTTTAAATTGACATTAAAAAAATTATAATGCTGAACATGTAGAATTTAATTTGCTCATTGCACTTTTTAACAATAAAAATGGACTTCTTGTAGAAACACGTCCCCGTCGTGAAGTCTGGAAACATACTATTGAATACTATTGAGACATGTATGGCTGAGATTTCTACAACCTTTGATTATTCTATCAACACCTAGGCTTAATTATTATTGACTAATGTACACACAGCATTGTAAGCCTAGCCAAAACTTGCTATAAGAGTTATCTCCCTTGTATGAGATGTGGCCAGTTTTCTTGTAGAATATTCATGTTTTATTACACTTTCTTTGCATGAAACTTCATTTTTTCAATATGAAAACATTTAAAATGTTATCTAGAAATAATAAAATGATATATTAACATTCCAATTACCCCTAGGCGCTCCTAGGTTTCTCTAGGCTTAAAATATGGCTTTCCTGAATTTACGTCAGAGCGTCTGGTCTGTTGTACTTTTAACGTTCATGAAGAGAACATATCATTATTAAGTTAGTCGTCTCAAACGAATTTCTAACGTCCTACCGACAGGGCAAACACAGGAAATGGGTTGGCTCCATGGCGTTCCAACGGAAAAATATCAACTTTATTATCTTAAATAGAAAGGAAATGAAGATGGAACTCAATGATACGTTTTCGTAAAGTGATAACATTTTGAAAAGCATATTTGATATATCACACTCTTCCCTCTTTCCAACTATAGTCTTTCTCAACAATGATAATAAATCATTTCTACATTCAGACAGTTATTGCTAACAACTCGCATGAACTTATACCTGCCACCCAAACACACACGTCGACACATTCAATCTACTCGAATACACTGAGAATCCGTTCTTAAATTACCCTAGCTGTTGTGTTGTGGGGGGTGTTGGGGAATACTCGGTGCTTGGCTTGTGAGAGGTTAAAACACACAAAAAGACCATTTCCATTACCATGCGGTTACCGCCGTTTAATCAACCGGAAAGCAACAACATAATAATAAATATATAAACAAAAGGACCCGGACACCGGGTCAAATATCCGGAATGAACAAAATAATCTGAAACAACCTGACCAGTCATATAGGTGTATATAACATCCCCGCCCCGAGAGAAAAAAATTGTGGGCAATTTTTGAATTACTGGTCAGGGAGTTTAAGATTATGTTGAAATCAGAGAGTGACTAGTACAGTTATATGAATGAAGATAAAGTGACTATGACATCAATATAAAATTTATCTAACGAGAAATTACATTATAAACCTCATTAAGAACAGGGCTGCATAGAGTTTCTATTCAATTTTAAGACAAAGACCTGTTGGCTGTTGATTCACACTAGTATGGCACATATAACAGTTGTTTTTATATACAAGATTGTTTCAATGTAAATGACAGATTATGCACTAGGTAGCTAAATCACAATCACAGATTCGCTCGCAACACATAATGAATCAAATGACCAGATTTTATAAAATATTCGTGAATAAAACCATTACATTCTATGCTGGCAATCTATGTCATACCTCACAAGGCTCATCCAGATAAAAATCACTACAGACTTGAGTTAAAATGTGTAATTCCATACTGTGAATTTACATAAATTGAAAAATATCCTGACCAACAGGTAATATAACAAGAGTACATCTGGACAATTCAATTTCATCACAAAATTAATTATGTGGAAATACCACAACAGTATATAGAATTGTACATACTAATCTCATTGTATCATATTTTATCATTACTGAGGAAAAGATATAACCATCAATGTCAAACGTTTATCTTAATAGGGTTATACTATCATATTTGGTAATAAACTCAGATGGCACCAATCAGATCCAGGTAAAAGTATTCAACCGCACATTATCAAGAAATTGTAAAAAAAAAAAAAAAAAATTTAGACAGCTAGTCCATAACTTTAACTGAAATGATGCAATTACACAATGACATTATAATAACTTCAGTGAATGGAAAATCAGTTGTTATAGGTGTTTTAAGTCATGTAGTATAATTGTCAAACTTTAAACTCATCATGTAAAATGTATGCAAATCTATAAACATCAGACAGAAATATGAGATCTGTGGATACAAATATCTAACCAGTGACCAATCATAGTAGACTCTTAAATCTTAGCAAAGTATGAAAATCATCTTTACAGCAAGAAAACAATGCACCAATTAGCATTTATACATAAAACAAAATCAAAGACAATCATAGCAAATGGCTATGAAAACACAAGGCAGGTAACTATATCATATGTTGAAACAATGAAAATTGTTATTCGAGTTATCAGACCCACAAAAGCTACAATATTCATGGGTATATGTGACAAAAATATCTAATCCAGGCAAATTACAAATCAAAAAGAACAAATCATGGTATTGTTCAGCCATACATTAATACATACCGGTATATCTATGCAATTTGTTTGGGTTTCTTGGCAAGGACAACACGTTGGGCTGGGCCATTAAGCGAGTCAAACGGAACCCACATCGCTGTGCGTGAAGGTTCACCCACAAAGTGAACAAGATACTCAATGTCTGAACCACTTCCTCTTTGAGCAAGCACTCTCCTGATTTTGTAATGTTTATTATCAGATGAGCTTTCAGAGCAAGACAACACATCTGGGTCAATATTGTCTTCAGATCTATAACGAGCCGGTTTCCGAATGTGACGAGTTGGACAAGTTTTGTTGTCTTCAACAATGGTATCAGAGGAGCTCTCTGTAGAAGGAGTTGGTAACTGGTTGGATAAATTCCCCAGTACAGTAAGATCCTCAGTTAGGGATTCACCCTCAGAAAAGTCGGTTGACGCGGATGATTGTAAAGGTTCAACAAAGTCACCAAAAGTATCAGTTTGTATGGCAGTATCGACTTTACAAGTAGTGACACTTCGAAAGAAGTCTGAAGGGGTGGGTGCGCGTACATGAGCAATTTCCAAACAGTTGATATGCACGGGGCGTTCATAAGTTTTCCCTGAAGATGGGTCAGACAAAACCACCAAATGCACAGAATGAACTGTCCGTACTACATAAGGCCCTTTATAAAGGTTCTGAAGCTAATGACCCTGGCCACCAGGCTTATGGCGTAGATACACATAGTCCCCTTCCCCGCATGTTGGACCCAGAGGCCTATCATTTGCAGCAGCAACCATTTTACACTGAGCCTTTGTGATGTGTTCTTTCATGTCATTGTGAATACATTCAAGGCGTTGGTGAACTTGATCAATGTATGTGTGAACATCTTTGAGTACACTTTTCAGGTTTGGAAGAACTGATACCAATGGGAAAGAAGGTCTATTCCCGTAGATTACCTCAAAAGGCGAATAACCAGTAGTATTGTTAATCGAAACATTCATAGAGAATATCACTGCAGGAAGGACTGCCTCCCAATTGTCTTTGCTCTCATTCATGTACGGAGTCAGTTTAGTAGCGAGTACCCTATGAGTTCGCACACAAGCCCCTAGGCAGTGGTGAGAATGGCTGGGGGTAAAGTTTTGTTTCACTTGTAACAAACGGCAGGTTTCCTGGCTAACTTTTGCAATAAACTCAGACCCTTGATCGGAAACCAATGTGTCACATACACCAAAGGTACACACAAGTTGAAACAATGCCTCCCCAACAGAAAGCGCGTCACTACTGGCAATAGGAATTGCATATACATACTTAGAAAACATGTCGACAGTAGTAAACACATGTGATTTTGCCGAGGGAGTAATCGGTAATGGTCCATAAAGATCAATCTCCCACACTTCAAAAGGGTTACATGGTGTAGGTAAAGCAACAATAGAATGTCTCTGAGGCACTGGGGGTACCTTTCGTTGTTGGCAATCAGGGCATGAACGTACATATTCCGAGACAATGGTAGATAAGCGTGGGAAGTAATAATGTTCACGAATGCGATCAAATGTTTCCTGAATTCCGGAGTGTCCTCCGACAGGAGAATCGTGATAAAGGGTCAGAATTGTTGGTATCATGTCTTCCGGTAATGCCAACTGATAATGTTTCAAAGTCTGTAAACGCTTAGATTTGGCAACCCGCGAGTGGAATAACGTGTTGTCAATGAGAACATAGTCCGAGCTCTCCAGTAAAACTCGTCTTGTTGCTTTTTGGGAATCTGGGAGTACATCATCCTTCAAATATGAAATAATTGGTCTGAACTTCTCATCTTTCTGCTGAAGATCTCTGATTGTTTCCTTAGTGAATACATGATCAGCCTCTTGAAAAACAACATGTTGACTAGTAGAGATGTTTCCTTTCACAGTTTCAGAGTCTGTAATGTCAGTATATGAAGGACTGGACAAAATTTGTTGTAAAATCTCTAACAATGTTCCATCTGATGTGATGAGGGAATCCAGTAATGACTGTTCATCCTGACTGGTATCAATGTCTGTAGACTGAACATATGGGTTAACCATTGGGCTAACATCAGTGACAGTAGTATCATCCCTAAATATGACATGACGCTGTTCATCCTCAGTAGTGGCTTCAAAGACATCATTCTCACATATTCTGACAGTTTGTTGTTTGTCCTCGTTTGTTTCTGACATTGACGGTAGGACTGCAACAGTATCTGTATTACAGACCAAACTAGAATCTGTAAGTTTCACATTGTCTCTGGTTAATACATGATCTAAATTAACTTGCGTATGACCACGTTTGCTTGTGGCATCCTTCACTTTTCTCCAAACTCGAGAACGCTTCCACGTAATGTTAGTTGTGATAGCAGCACTGCCGGTATCAGAATCCTCAGTATCAGCATCATATGCTCCTTTGCAGATAATATCGGACTGCAGAACAGACGTCGGTACAACACAAATGTTATTGACTACAACATCATCACTACTGTCAGAATGTAGTAAAGAATCGAACTTCTGCCCGTCAGGAAGTGTAACGCCGGTAGCATGAGGATCAGGCACAAAGGGAAAGTTTAGGTCTTCCTCAACTGGACTAGCTTCCATAAAGTCCATGTCCGGGTTAGGATAGCAACACGATAGTGCATCAGGAACCGTCATCTGACTAGCCGGTTTGTATTCAATCTTGATATCGAATTGCTGTAAAATGGCAAGCCAACGCTCATAAATGGCACCTCTGAGTTGTTTCTGAAACAATGGTTGAAGGGCCTGATGATCGCACTCTACCACAAACCTGCGTCCCCGAAGGTAGTGGGCACAGTCGAGTACACTGTATACCATGCCTAGTAGCTCCAACTTTGTAGGTCCATATGTCTGCTGGTAAATATTTAATCCCTTTGAACCAAATCTTACAACCCGTCTGATCCCATCTGGGTGAATCTGGTAGAGCATATATCCAACTCGATGACTTGAGGGATCAACAGCTAGGCGAAATTCCAGATCATATGGAGGAAATGCTAAGGCATCAGATGTTGACAACAAACGTTTCAGTTGAGCAAATGCATCATCATGCACAGAATTCCATGAAAATTTGACACCCTTCTTCAGCAATTGGTTCATAGGAAAAGCGATTTCACTAAACCACGGAATAAATTTTCGAAACCAGTTAAACAATCCCATGGTCCTACGATGTTCCTTTTGGTTTGTAGATACTGGCAGTTTTTGAACTGCATCAACGCGATCCTGAGGTGGACGAATCCCATCACGTCATGGCCGAGAAAAATGCATTTCTCTTTTGCAAACGCGCACTTCTTTGGGCCTAATTTTAATCCTGTGGTCTGTAGACGCGTGAAAACTTCCTGTAGGTCTTTCACATGCTGCTCAAATGTGTTTGAACAAATCAAAATGTCATCCAGGTAACATAACACTGACCTGAAAGTGAGTCCATGTAGCAGTGATATTGCCAGGTTTTGGCAGGGATGGGTCATTTGTCCTGAAGGATGTCACCGCCTATCACCACGGGGGATAAATATATTTTTCCAATGTAAATTTAATTGTATTTTAAAAGAACAAGTCAACTTCAAGTAGACTGTAGTGACTGTTTGACAGTTGTCATGTTTATTCCATTAAAAACAAGAAATTCTTCAAGCAGACTTGGTTTTTATAAAAAAAACTATCATGGTCATTATACATGTACATAAATCTATGTTAAAATTGATCTTTTTTGTTGGATTTCCACGCACTCAGCGCTGACACAAAATCAAATTTGCGGATATCATCAGATCCCTCAATGCACACTCGCAAAAGCTTGTCTTGAGTTTCCGGAAGAAGGCGATTCCTCAGGGAGGTAAGGACATTGTTCTGCACACTGAACCCCCTTTCACACCCTGCAGTATGAACAGGACATACTAAAGCTAGATGGGCTAGTTTAATCAAATTTGGGCACTCCTCAGATCAGACTTAGAAGTGTTGGTTTTCTTGTCCTCATCCACCCAAGTGTGCTCTTTCTCTTCTCCAAAATGTCTTATCAACACATTTATGGCCTCATCTCCCCAGTCATGCAGATCTTTACCACTTAGCAAACCCACAGGTCTCATGGATAGTACTCCAAATGCTGTCAGAAGATCTGTATCAGGGAATCTGGACAAATAGAATGATGAAAATCAGTATTCTATATTCATAAGTTTATTCAAGTTAAAATCATGCTATAATCCTGTACTCAAAATTTGCACCCAAATGTATATTTTTTTATTTATATAAGTACACTGCAGTGCAGTGTTAATGTTATTTACTTCAGGTTTTCTTATTTACCTACCTCTCAGTAATATTCCCAATGAGGTTGTTGAGAAACTTCACCTTTACAGACTGGACATCATGGTGTGGTGAAAGGGATATCTCATGCTGTTTGAACTGCTTGGCCACAATATCAAGGTCTGTGTCAAGCTGATGTTCATAAGGCCCAGGAACAGTTTTGAGACTATGCAGTTGGTGAAGACAGTGGTCAAGATTCACCTGAAGAAATAATTTATAACTGCTTGGTTATAAATATAATAATGCCATGTAGTTAACAGTTTTTCATACACATAACTGTATGTTTTTTTTAATATTCAAAAGTAGTTTTGTCAAGTATTTTTATAGGAATAATCAACAATGGGAATCAATAAAATAAAATCTATATTCTAATACTATTTCTTTGTTTTAATCTATTTGTTACATTAACAAGAATGATAAGAGTAAAAAATCTGCTTTTATGATCACTTACTTTCACCAGTGCAACATCAACATTTTCCTTTTGAAAGAAAAGGTTAAGTCTTCCAACAACAGGGATGATGTCCATCAACATATATGTCATGGAAATGAATTTGGAAGTACCAATCTGTAAAAAAAAAAAGTGAAAAATTTAAGTTGTTGAAAAAAAATGATTTCAATACTAATAATAGACCAATTTATATGGTGCCCATATTTTAAGATATAAAAATTTACTTACTTTAAATAATATCTTTATTTTATTATTTATTATTATTTTGGGGGTTTAACCAACCTTATATAACATTTTATCACTTCCATGTCTGTCACATTCACAATTCCGATAAGTAGACGTAGATAAACCTTGCAACGGTCAGGAATCACAATATATTCAACTTCAGTCCATAAACAAACAAAACTAAAAAAAGGAAATTAAAATAATCAACAGAAAATTAAAATAATTTAGAAACAACTGAAAATAATTGTCAATGTTCTGTACTTCTGTACAACTCAACTTAAAACAATTTTACTAAAGATTATCAAAGAAACAAATAGAAAAACATTACATAGAAATACTAAAAATAAAATTAACTTAAAATTAAATTAAATAAAAATGAAATGAATTAAATCATCAGATTAAAATTAAGTTAATGTCATGTACCAATGTACTTGATAAAGCCATTTACCTTCTTCTTTAATCCTGCAGCTTTTGGATCCTTAGAATTGACAGTCTCCGCAAAATATGTAAGTAGAGAGTCTAAAGTCCTGTGGACAGTTTCCAGTGCGTTATAAAAGGACAGCCATCTAACACTGTGTACTTCCTTATATCGAAGTTGCGGATCATTCAAAACTTTCTGAATTTCACTCAAACTTGCTACCCTGTTCGGTGAATATTTGAAGTAATAGTATATGGAAGTGATGGTTTCTTGATATTCCTTTAAGGGAGCTATATTTTCAGCTGCCTGGCTTGTTGAAAGGGCTAGACGGTGTGCCACACAATGAACATTAATTATGTGAAGATTTTTACGCATCATCATTCCAGCTACACCTTTCCCCTTCCCTGTCATCACACTTGCACCGTCTGAACCAAGTCCCATAATCTTTTTACAGGTCACACCTCTTTTTTCACACTGGCTGAATATTTCAGCTGCAATAGCAGTACCAGTTCCTTCATGAAACTGGACATTTGTAAGGTAGCGAGTACAAGTTTTCATTGTGACAGGGTTCAGAAGTTGCACATAGATAACAAGTCTTTTGTGGACACTAATGTCTGTGGGCTCATCAGCTAAAACAGCAACAGCTGGAGAGTCTTTCATGTCACTTTCCAGTTTCTTATCCAATGTCTCAGACATAGCAGCAAGGAATTCCTGTGCACTATATGATGAGGAATAGTCAACACCATCTGACTTTTTCAAGTACTTGACATTAGGTACACCCAAGTCATGGAATAGCTGTAGTAAAGATTTAAACTTTACCAATGGCAAAGATTCCTTTGCCAGCTAATACACGGCCTTCATAGCTACTAGTACTGCCTTTTCCTCATTCGTTTCTACTGTTTTATTAACTTTTAACATGTTTTGTTTTAGTTCGGGAACTAAAATCGCAGTTTGGTGATCATTGGTTTTAACATGTTCATTAAAAGCACTAGTTCGGTAATTTTTACAACAAACAGTAAAACTGTTGGAACGCTTTGCATCTATACAGACTGAGCATTGCATACCGATACCGTCAGTGTATATCAGCCATGGACGGTACAACTCACGCCATCTTTCCTGAAAAGAGCGTACATGGGTAGTCGTTACCGTTTGCCCCTCAGAAACTGCTGTAACCAGCTGTGAATCTAAAGATTGACTTTCTGTCACCGTCATCCCGAGATCGTCAGTAAAAAAGACGACAGGGACCTTTGTCCCTCAATCAATCGTCTTTTCTTTGCCGGCATCTTGTTTATAAAAAAATAATCGGGATCTTATCGGCACTTATAACATATTAAACCCATTGACCTTAGTGACAAACGCGGTAGGGACGCTGACTACAGCCGATCGGAATACGGGCTGTCGGAATACCTCTGACATCAACCAAACTCTGTTATTAACAAGATAACAGTTGGCGCTATAGTGTAATATTATAAATCACTCGATGGGCGACCTTTTTGGTTATATAGTTCTACAATTTGCTATTGAAAACAATCGGTCATTTGTTTTGCCGGCAAGTTAATTTATCGGTCAATTTCTAACTTAATCGGACTATGACCGATGACCGACCTGAATCTGAATCACTGTGTAGTATTTTATCCATCAATAGCTGAAAGCTATTTGGACCTGTACTAAGGCCCATTGGAAGGCGAAGGAATTTAGAAGAACCAAAGTAGGTATTGAATGCAGTATATTTTGATGAATCTGCCTCGATACTCATTTGAAAGAATCCAGAACTCATATCTAGTGACGTAATATAATGTGGGTTACAGGTATCAAAGGATTCCGTCAACTCTTGAAGGTTGGGTATAGTGTATCGGAATGGTTCCGTTTGTGAATTTAAATAGCGAAAGTCACAGCAGAAACGGTAGGCTGGTGATGATTAACTATCTGCAGATTTACGCTTTAACACTAGAACTATGGGGCTGGATATAGGAATGTCCTCCTTCTCATCAACTGGGGCAATAATGCCCTGATTCATTAAGTTGGTTAGTTGAGTTCTCAATACTTCCCTTTTGTCAGGGGACAGTCTATATGGCTTATGATGTTTAGAAACTGCATCAGATTTTAAATTGATTCTATGTTCAACAACATTAGTAAATCCAAGTAAGGGGTTTTCATCAGTTACAAAAATGTCTCTAAACTGGTACAAACAAGATTATCACCAGTACCCTCCACATACAAATCTTTCTGAATATCATCTACATGAACAATTGAATGAAAAACATCAGTTTGAATATGAACATTTGAATGAACACCATCTACATGAACAGTTGAATGACGAACATCAGGTTGAATATGAACATTTGAATGAACACCATCTACATGAACAGTTGAATGACAAACATCAGGTTGAATATGATAATTTGAATGAACACCATCTACATGAACAGTTGAATGACAAACACTAGGTTGAATATGAACATTTGAATGACAAACATCAGGTTGAATATGATAATTTGAATGAACACCATCTACATGAACAGTTGAATGACAAACACTAGGCTGAATATGAACAGTTGAATGACAAACATCAGGTTGAATATGAAAATTTGAATGACAAACATCAGGTTGAATATGAACATTTGAATGAACACCATCTACATGAACAGTTAAATGACAAACATCAGGTTGAATATGAACATTTGAATGAACACCATCTACATGAACAGTTGAATGACAAACATCAGGTTGAATATGATAATTTGAATGAACACCATCTACATGAACAGTTGAATGACAAACACTAGGCTGAATATGAACATTTGAATGACAAACATCAGGTTGAATATGATAATTTGAATGACAAACATCAGGTTGAATATGAACATTTGAATGAACACCATCTACATGAACAGTTGAATGACAAACATCAGGTTGAATATGAACATTTGAATGAACACCATCTACATGAACAGTTGAATGACAAACATCAGGTTGAATATGATAATTTGAATGAACACCATCTACATGAACAGTTGAATGACAAACATCAGGTTGAATATGAACATTTGAATGACAAATGAACATCACATGAACAGTTGAATACAAACATCAGGTTGAATATGAACATTTGAATGACAAACATCAGGTTGAATATGAACATTTGAATTGATATTTGATTGAACATGCATAGATTTGTCAGAACATGTAACACCTGGCTTCTCAAAATCCTTGTGACCATTACTTGTGGTAACATTATTACATAACCCATCAGAATTTTGTACAATGACATGATATGGGCTGTCCATGGCCTCAAAATCAGCCAGCACTGTGTAACGGGGGATAGTAATGGTTGAATTCCCTGGGTTGAGAAGCTTAATAGGTATTTTCCTGGTAGGATTAACTGTGCTAACAGATCTTGCAACCAGTAAACCAGCTTTCATAGCTTTCTTACTCCAAGAACACACCCCTTGTAAACCTATAGTACAACCTTTAGGTAGTTTACACCATACCAAACATTCAGAGTTGGGATTTATGGTGAGGGAAGTCCTACACCTTACTTTTAGCTTCTTGAAACCAACTTGTAAACAACCAAAATCTAAGACCATGGAATTATTTGTCATAAAGTTTGAGCCCAAAATGAGAGGGTGGGAGGTATGGTGTAAAACATACACATTGAGTGTACATGAGCCATATGGGGTTTTAGCTTTGATATAAGCAGTACCCAACACTGGTATTTTACTTGAATCAGCTAAGCCTATATCTACCGCAGCACTGGTATCAATATTGGTCTTTACCCTTACAGATAGTTGATCATAAAATGATTGAGACATTACATTAATGCTACTGCCAGTATCTAAAAGAGCTGCAATAGTTTGTGAGTCAATTTCTACAGGTAAATACATAAATGGACCAGAAGCTGAAACACTACTACCAGTGTCTGATATTGTCTCTTCACTGTCTGTATAACTATTAGTAATAACATCACTAGTGTTATTTATAACCTGTCGGACAGGTTCTACACTGCAGTGTCGCGAACGGTTTACCAGCGATGACCTCCCAAGGGGGCGCGACCGTATTCCCTTGGGGTCCTGTAGTTTCCCAGGTCCTGTGGATCAGGTGTCATGCACATCGCAGACGGCAGGGCAGCAGGTACCATCCGTGGAGGGGCGTATGGAGCCGTTTGCACCATTGATGGAGGGGGTTTTGTAAAGTCAATCATAGGTCCTCTGATCAGTTGTTGGCACTGTGTGGCTGTATGGCCCTGTTGGCCGCACCACTGACAAACTTGTGTTGAAGGAAATGGGTTGGTATTACACATATTGTTCACTAGCTCAGTAAGTTTTGATTCCAGTGGGATTCTGTCTCTTGCATGATTACAGAGCGGTTCCCGAGTATGGAAGGGTATGCCCGCCAAAAGTCTATGTATCTTTCTTACATTTCAATTCGTCTTCCTCACATATTCATGTTTACATTTGTACTTCTGTGTCACTTCATTACATGTTCATTTTGTCATCCTGAAATCTATTCCATCTTTTCATCCTCGTTCATCTTGTTTCCTGGTTTATTATTACATTTGTACATGCTGGTCGCCTATTGCATTCTTCTTGTTGGTGTTTGTTAGTAACGCACTGCATTCAGGACGACGCATATTATGAACCACAAAGCACGAAGACGAAAGCGAGTTGGAACGCTGCGTTTTTTATCGACAGATGGCGCTGTTAAAAGTAAAATGATTTCTCCCTAAAAATATACGAAACTACCAACTAGCTGTTAAAGGCGAAAGTGAAAGTAGGCCTTCAGCAAATATGGCTGTCTTTGAAATGAAAGAATTGCTTCGAAGAAAGATATTACATACAGCCCAATGTATCGAAGAAGGACAAACAAGTAACTTGTCCAGCAATATAGAAGGTGTTGTGTCCATGGCTTGTCAGTTATCCAGTATAACAAATATAGACGAATCATTAAATATCCTGGAGTGTGTTTTAAGTATGTTACCAGAAATACGTGATTCAACAGAAGTGAGAATGTTTTCGCGACCAAACTTGGTTCCAGGGCATACAGGGAGACCGAGCTTTCATATACCAATTGATGTTTTAGAATTTTTGCTGGACAGTAGATTCAAAGTACAAGACATTGCTGATATGCTCGGTGTAGGGAAAAGAACCATCGAGAGAAGACTACAACAGGTTGGATTAAGTGTATCTAAAACATATTCGGACATTAATGATATCGAATTAGAAGAAAAAATACGAAAGATAGTAGTTGAATTCCCCCATGTTGGGTATCGGACAGTTCTCAGTATCTTAGCGACTGAGAGATTCCGTGTACAAGAACATAGGGTTAGAGATGCTCTTAGAAAGGCTGATTCAGAAGGTACTCTGTTCCGGCGTCTTTTTTTGACAACCTGTCGTGTACAGAGAAGGACTTATAGCGTAAGTGGACCACAGGCTCTTTAGCACATTGATGGCAACCACAAACTAATAAGGTAAGCTACTTGGGTATTATACATTGGTTGATCCATTGCAGTAGATTACAAAATAATAGTCAACTACTGCTTACTCACGAAGTATTTTCATTTCTGGATTAGTTTGGGTAGTGAGGTGATTCAAAATCTGAGTGACTTAATGAAATTGATGTTTTTACTATAAATGGCCAATTGATGATCAAATACTTAAACAGAAGAAAGCTCACCAAAAACTGCTGGGTATCAATGATATACCCCAAATTCTTTCTCAGGACTATATTGTGAATAATTTTTAAATGTATTATATGAAATATGCTGTTTATATACATAACAAGTAAATTGTCCAACATGATATGTTTGGCAACATATATAGAACATTGGAATGTTGTAAAAATAATATTAACATGATTTGATTTTAAGTAGAAACAGCAGCAAGTCGGTATGTAAAAATATTGACTCTGGCATGTAATGCAGATTTTATATAATAGTTTTCATTTTAGGTATGCGGCACATTGTCTTAACTTCAAGGGACAAATGAATAAACTGCAATGTCATCAGATCATGTTACCTTTTATTACAGATGGCGATTTGTAATACATGGAGGCATTGATGGGTTCTCAAGAATGCCGGTCTTCTTGAAAGTTAGCAATGATAATAAGGCTGAGACAATCCTTGATGCTTTCATGGAAGCTGTTAGTCAATATGGTCTGCCTAAGAGAGTAAGGTCAGATAAGGGAGGAGAGTATGCTAAGGTTGCTGAATACATGTTCAGCAGGAAGGGTACAGCTGAAAAGCCATTCATTGCTGGGCGTAGTGTACATAATCAAAGGTATTCCATTTGTTTTATTCAATCATTTCAATTATGTGAAGAAATAGAATTACAGAATTAAACTCATAAAACAAACCTGACATTCTTTTAAGACATAATTGTGAAAGGGGCATTACTGCGTTTGAAGTGATTTTAGGTCCCCAAAATAAAAGTAAACAGGAAATTAGTATTTTTCCCCCCAACGTAGTAAAAGTTATTAACTTAACATAAATACAACAGTTTTACTCTCAAGGTAACCCAATGTTTTTAGAGTAATAAATCTCAAAAATCTATAATTCAACCTGAATTATCACCTAATTACCACAAAGACAGGTGCTATTTGTGTACAGTATGCTAATTTCGTGATAGTTGTAAACAGTAAGAAAAGCTCTCAAGGTGTGAATTTCATAAACAGAAATCAAGCTTTTATCTAATGTCCGAAAGCAGGAATGCCCCATTAATTCATCAAAGCCAAGGGTTCATATTACTTAATGGGATCTGTCTTTCCATGTCATTAAAGGCTTGGTAGTTATATCGGACCCTTTTCCAAACTAAACGACAGTGTTGACGCTCTTCAAAAGGGAGATCATGTGATATAGATTAATACAGACAATGATTTTCTAATAAGTTCTGAATTTCACAAGGATAATGTATGATGTAAATATTCCACCTATATAGAAACTGATTAAAACATGAAAGTTTGTTGTATTATTGTCTTATCTCTCAGGTTGCTAAAATTTAATATGATTCTTTTTGTGTATGCTCCAGGATAGAACGTCTTTGGCGCGAGTTATGGGCTGGGTGTACCATGACATTCTACAATCTCTTCTACTATCTTGAAGACCTAGGCATTCTGCATCCAGACAATGACCTTCACATCCAAATTCTTCATTTGGTGTATCTGCCTCTTATTCAAAGTCACCTGGATACGTTTAGAGCCACTTTACAGACACGACCTCTAAGAACAGAAAAAAAACGAACACCAATGCAACTTTGGATTAGTGGCCATCGTAATGTCATTTTTTATCCAGAAACTGAGGTATATATTGTGGAATAACAGTCTGTATAAAAAGGTTCAATAAATTTTCCATAGATGACAATTCAAAATGTGCACATTCTACTTATCCCTCCATAATCATATACAATTTTGAGCTTGATCTGATATATAAAGATGGCAGCAGGCACCATCTTGAATTTTGACAGTTTATTGAAAATTATTACAACTATTTCTCGGTACATGTTGGATTCATTTCTCAACTTTTTTCGTCATACCAGTAAATAACACTGGTTTTCACAGTTATATGATTTATTTTTGGGCTGATTGCAGAAACAAATTAGCTTCCAGGCAATGTTTTGTTCTAACACCTAAATAAATTTGAGAAGGGCTGATGCTGTACCCGGCATCAACATTTGGTAAAAATCAGTTTTGAAATAACTGCAAATGCTGCATCAACTAAATTTGCATGGCTGGTGTGTTAACACCTTTCCTGTTCCAGCGGCTGGATCTGACCCACATTTTCTGCATCACTGACCCAGTTTTGGACTTAAATTATTTTCAGCTGTAGCTTAAGTTAGTTCTAAAGTGCTGCATCAACAAAAGTTACATGGTTGATGTTTGGAATGATATTAAGCACAGGATATAATCCAGAGGTCATATATATTGCATTTACTGCAAAGTTGTATAAATTTTGTTATGGCCTTGTGAAGTATACTTGTTTGTAACCATACTTGAAGTTACCTAACTAAAGGTCAAGTAAGGATCAGATTTGGTAACTTTAATTCTGTTGACATTATTAATGAAAATGTTTGATATTAAACAAGAAGTCAACTGACCAAATCAGGATCAGATTATGAAGCGAATCTTGTCAGAATTAAACAACAATACATTAGGTACAGCAAAATCCAAATTTACATGATTTTAAGAATGTTTTATTGCAAAGGATGTGTTATGGTAGCTGTATCATACCCACATTTTGTACTTGATTGACCCAGCATGTTTTATTCCAATGCAGTGTAGACTTGCTCGAAGATCAGAAGAAAAATCATGGCAAACAGACAAGTGTATCAGAGATCTTGGAGCTCTTAGTTTTATTAAACTCATTAATTGAAGTGACGGCTTTTGTTACTAAATTGAGTACATTACACATGCAAGTAAAATGTAGATGTCTTATTCGAGAACAATTCACTTTAGTTTTACACTTGTTTTTTATCATCATAGGTTGGTATTCAAACATATGGCATTGATTGGGATGGACCAGCTAACACACAGCCTTCTTTGGAAATTCCAGAAACCCTTCCATTGTCTGATGCAACGCTTTCTTGTTTGGAGAACATATTACACAGAGACAGCTCCAATTTCAAGGTGGACATTTACGAAGAAGTCTTAACTGCTGTACAAAATGATAACAGAAGATAATTTCTGTACAAAATGATAACAGAAGATAATTTCACTATCATTTTGAATGAAATTCATCAATTTCTATGAAGGATGGGTGGACAATTTCTCCTTGCATGACAATTTCAACTTGCATTAGGTGAACTTTAAACTTGAAATGAGTCTTCAAATATGTTATCATTGTCTCTTATCATTGTCTCTTCAAAGCAAAAATTTCATGCAATCCCAAAACCATATGCACCGACAATAACATTTTGAAGAACCTCTTGGAATGTGCAATCATTTTGTAGTTCTTCCGTCTTTGAAAATGTAATTGATGGTGCACATGTATTGACCGTCGGCAAATTTGAAGATTTGTGATCAAATTGAATACTTCCAGAGTTCATGCTTGTCAGAAGTTTTGGGCAACCCAACAGTGCCTGACAAAGGTGGCCCATGTTTAGTTCCACAATGTCTTCTACACCTGTATCCATGGACAGCCATGGTGTAGAAATTCTCCCCTCTGAAATGATCATAGTAAAATCATACATCAATGCTGTTTCTTATTTTGAATTGTAATAAACATTATAAGAAAAAAAATATTATCCTTTTTATAAACAAGATGCCAAGAGACCTAACAGTCATCCAAGTAAAATTTATGAAGGACACTAACATGAATGCAAGATCCTAGGTAAGCATTACATAACTCAGGTCAGGCCCTTCTGAGTATACATATACAAGGATTAGTTTTATAAATCTTGTTGAAAATCCACGCGCTGGTGTAATAGGAAGCATAATAGAAAAATACCACTCTCACACCCCAGCATGAGCTAGTGATCTCTTGCTCTCCATGCAAACATCCTAGATCCAGACTAGAGGGAAATTCACACCAGCAAAAGCTGGTAAGGTGACCTATACTTTTAACCTTTTAAACTAGTTTCAGAGATGTATTTATAACTGCCTCACTCACTTAGGGAATAACTCCTTTCTTGATTATAGTTTCTGATTCCCACCACAGGCCGATTTAAAATTATAACAGGTATGCGAGCAGAAAATAATTGCATATATTACATTACACAGTACTGTCATAAAATAATCACTCCTTTTAACAAGAGGCCCAGAGGGCCTGTATCGCTCACCTGGCAGGCAGGCATTTTTTTCGGATCAGTTTCAAAAGGCAATATGCCTAAATAGATGTGAAAGGGAACTTACATATAAAATTTGAAAGATCAAGTTATTACCTGATGAGAAATAGTTATAAAAACTTTTGCTCTAACAAAATCAAAGATGGCAACCAGTTGGCCATATTTTGGAGGGATTAGTTCCAAAAGCAATATGGGTAAGTAGGCATGAAGGGGAACCTACATATGAAAATTGAGAATGATCCTTGCAAAAGAAGTAGGATTTTGAAAATGAAGCCCATGGGGTTGGGCCAGACCCAGGGGCCGATTGCTACATCCTGATTGTGTTCATCTCTTTATGCCCAACAAGACTATATATGGTTATGGGGTGGGGATCTCAAAGGTTTCAGAAATTTTATGAATATTGCCAAATTGACCCCTTTGACCCCGCCCCTCAGGGCCCTGGCGGGTGAGCCCCATCATTTGTATGAATTTGAGTCCCTGCCACCTAGGATTGCTTGTGAAGAAAAATGAATATTATGCTACGCTTAGTTTCAGAGAAGAAGTTTATTTTATGAATATTGCTAAATTGACACCTTTTGGCCCCGCCCCTCAGGCCCCTGGGGGGCCAGCCCCATCATTTGTATAAATCTGAGTCCCTGCCACCCAGGGATGCTCTCTACCAAATTTGGTGGAAATTCAACTAGTGATTTTGGAGAAGAAGTTGATTGTTGACGGCTGGAAGGACGGCCAGACGACGACAGACGCCACGGTATGGCATACGCTCACCTTGGTCCTTCGGACCAGGTGAGCTAATAAAGAGTGAATACACCAGAATATTAATTTTGTTGATTGTGTGCAGTGGGCCAGATGCCATAATGTGTGTAGTACAGCATGATCTATCTCAACATATCTAAAGAAAAAAAAACTTGAATGAAGCTTTCATGAGGAAACAACTATCTCGGAGACATATAGTATGTCTTTCATATTGCTTGTTACAGGAAGGATGATATACCGGTACAACCAGATGTCTGATTTTGTGAGCAAAAACTTATTTTTCCTCTTTAATATCAACCAAGAACACACAGCATTTTCTGTCCATTACCAGATATTTTTCAGTGAAGAGATAAACAGCTTGACTTTTATATTTACCAGGTAACTCATAACTTTGATGTATTTATTGTGTCTTTTCATCTTATTCCAATCGTCTTCAATTCATTATTTCAGGAATTACTTATCTATGAAGAAATTTGACCTTGACTTCTGATCATGCACTTGCTCATTTCATTCTGATGAAGTTTACCTCGTATTTCCCAACAAAATATTTACCAGTTATAAGAGGTAAAATTTGAATCCGTTGACTCTGACCTGTGATCAAGCATGTCCTCATTGATTCTGGTCACCTTTGCTTGTATGTTTACCAGGAAAGATTCGACCTTGAATTCTGAACTTGTAAGCTGGACCTATAGCCAGGTTACTTGGTATCTCATTCTGGTTTTGGTCAACTTTGCTGCATAATGTTCTAACAAAATATCTATCAGATGAAATATTTTATAAAACTCTATTTTTAGTAACAGCTACATTCAGCTGAAGATAACTGTGCAGTGAACAAAACCTGTGTGTAGCAAAATTATTTTTCAAGTTGTTTTTAAAGATGTTTTTTATAGCTCAAAGGTTAAGGCCCGGACAAGATAGTACCAGAACAACTGCACTTATTTGACCTCTGACCTTAAGGTCAAGATCACAGTGAACTAATTTCCATGATTGTACAATGTCTGGATAATACAATTATGTTTAAAGCTTCATCCAGAAATTTTCAATGGTTTGAAAGTTACAACACAACCAGTACTAAAACAAGCCATAATGAACAGAATGCCATTCAAGTGGTTGATTAGGAAAATAAAGACAGTTGGTTGTACTGTTAAATAGTACACTCCTCCATCCTGAGATGTGAATTACACAAGATACAGTGCGCTAATCTGCCCACATGAAAATGTAATGTGCATTTGATTGGAGTCTAGAAGTATTGTTGAGCTTACTTTCAATATTTTTCAGATATTTGCCCCAGTTATACACAATCATCTCTTCCTTTTCCTCTGTAACTGATGAATAAACCGGTTTGAAGAAATCTGCAGTGGGATAGGAACTTTCGTTAAAGAAAAGACAAGCATCCTTTGGGTGTTCCTGAAGCTTCTGCAGTATTCCATGTAGTTTGAGCCCTGAAATGTGAAACTGTGCATATGAAAAATTTCCACCCACAGCTAAGAACTGGTCAAAATGACATGTTGCAATGCCTTCACCAAGCAAGTATTTCATTTCAGAGTACTAAATATTATATATGTCACAAGTAAGGTTTGGAATGTAGAGTTCATATATTTATTTCAATAGGAGTCAAAAGACTCATTGGCTCCATTTTCTATAGTTTCCAAACAAACGAATGATGGCTGCTTAATAAATTTAGAATAGTCTTATTATACACTGACTACAATTAAAATCACCAATAACAAATTTATTTACATACATGTATAGAAAATCTGTTTTTTTTTCTTACACTGCAGATTACCTGCCAGGCAATAACAAAGTTTATTAATTAGGTATTCTAATATTGATGATAACTGGTTTGATGCTTTAATGCAAGACATGAAGGGAGAAACTGAGGTAGTGGTAAATACCTTCCATAAACTGATTTATTGAAGCCATTGGTCGATAGAGCAGGTAGAAAGCCTTCAAAGCCTTAATTGTCTCATCTTTATTGTCCAAAGTTAGAATTTTGGTGTATCCGGTGGCTTCAAACATGGAGATGTGCTCATTATAGACATTTCCAATTGTCTCCAGAGTGGCCTCACCAATCTAGGAAATTAAAAAAAAAAAAAGAAATTACAAAGAGCATATTTACTCAGAATAGGAAATCAGGAAAGGTTTCAGCCAGTTAAAAAAACAATATGAAACTTGGAAACTATTATTTAATCTTGCTTTCAGAACATCAACTTGCAGGTTGAAATATGTGATTGCTACTGAGCTCTTTATCACCACTACAGCTACTATTGCCCACTTTTTGAACACATCTGTCCTACTGCTTAACTGAAATTGACTACTGATAACAATAAGCAATAGTTGATCTTACTACTGACCATTACTAACACTGCTAGAAGACTCATGGTGGCAATACATGACTGTTGCTGACTAGTAAATGACCGATTGCTCACCACATCTGTTAATTGCTTTATCTCAACAGGACTAGTTTCTCCTGACCACTACTTATTGGTGACATTTCATTGATAAGTCATATCACATTGCAATCAAGTGACTCGAGACATGTGAGCTTCTTGTTATAAATGTTTTTTCTGGACTTTAACATTACGTCCATCTTTCCAGATTGTTTACAGTAATTATGCAATCATTATTTTACAGCAGCAATCACTTAGCATAAGTCACTTTCATAATCCTTTTGCATAAATGAAAACCATCCTGCTCATTTGTATATTGTTAAAGGTATATAATGTGTAGTGTCTTTAAAGCTTAATTCAAGAATTTCTTATTAAGATGTATATCTTCTCACCTCTTTTATAGCACTGACAACATCTCTGAATTTCCTTTATTTTCACCATGGAAAAGTCAGCCTCTTGTTTCAATAGCATGTAATTTGTTACATGCTGATTTAAGCATCTTGGTCCTGGATGACCACTTACTATAGCTTTTGCCACAGCTTTCCCAATTAAGCAATACTGCTTCTTGACAAGAAGCTGAGGATTCACACTGAAAGTATTTTCTTCAAATACTTTTGATGTCTTAAAGAGCAATGAGAAGAATTCTCGTGAAAGACCTCCAGCATCTATCCCTTCTTCTCCTAAAAACTGAATACTTATGGGTTTATTCCAATCATCTTCATCACCGTCCTCCAGTTGTTCCAATGCAGTTTCTTCAAATAATCTCCGAACAACCTTAACTGACCATGGCTTTTCATGACGTTTCAACTCTTGTGCTATTTTAGAGAGCTGGTCTGGTAAATTCCTTTAAACAAATATTAAGTTAACTATATATAATAATGAAAAACAATGGGATGTCAAAATGCTATTGTTCTCGGTGCACTGTATTCAGTGTAATTTGAAATTAGAATTCTCAACTTCTGAGATACACGTAAACTAACTATATCTACAAAGTCCATACATCAGCATTCCCTTGCTGTTTTCATTTAACATGTTCTTACTTCAAATGAGGTTCAATATATCAAGATATCTATATTTGCTTGGTAATACTATTATGAAACTAGAAATTGTTGGCCAACAATTTGACGCGCTTTTCATCCACATAGGCCCCCTGACATTCAGGCTTTCTTTACACCTATAAAGCCTTGATTTCACCTTACTGAAATTGGTTTGTTACCCTAACTTCAGAAACAGAGAAACTGTAAAATACAAATTTGGTCGCCTCCTACTATATTCCATTAGTGGCAGAAGGTATAATTCTTACACCCCACCTGCAGGTTATAAGGTCTTAAAATATTTCGTCCCCTACCAAAAACCGGAAGTTGAAATTTTAGGCAGTTTTTTTCTGATGGCAATCAAAAGGAAGTTTCAACTGAAGGATTATAACCCATTTTCATTACTGTGTGCCTTTCAGAAATTGGAAAATTGTCATTTAACGATTTTTAGTTAATTGACCACTGTGACCTTGAAAATGGGTCAAGGTCATTTATATTATCAAACTTTGTTACCAGTTACATAACCTTCCTATCTGTTGAATATCAAGCCTTTAGGCCTTTCCAAACTTGAGAAGAAGTTTCTCAAAGTTTGGTACCCTAAATGACACTCTTCAACATTCTTCCCTACCAATGACCGGAAGTTGAAATTTTAGCGCATTTTTTTCTTACGACAATCCATAGGAAGTGTCCTCAGAAGGTTTATCATCAATTTTCAACACTCTATGTCTTTTAGAAATTGAGAAATTGTCATGTAACGATTTTTAGTTAATTGACCCCTGTGACCTTGAAAGTGGGTCAAGGTCATTTATATTATCAAACTTGATAACCAGTTATTACAGGATCTTACCTGTGAAATATTGAGCCTCTACGCTTTCTAGAATTTGAGAAGAAGTTTTTCAAAGTTTGGGACCCCAAAATAGCACTTTTCAACTTTGACCCCTACCGAAAACCGGAAGTACACATTTTACACAAATAATGTCAAGTCAGATATGATCTATTTCTTATTCTACATAACATATCCAAAGATAAATTCAATACCTTCTGCCGTTATGGAGATATTGACGTTAGGGCTTATATCGGAAATGACGTCATAGCGGCCATTTTGTTTTTCCGATGAACTTGTAAATATCATCAAACGGTAGAGGACATCTGGGGAAACTTTTTCAATAACATTTAGATCAATTTTGATACAGAACGAGTTTTTCCAATTTGTCGGCATTTTCAAAAGATCAAAGGAAATTTTCAAAATGGCCTAAAACGGAAGTGGTAAATGTTAGAGAAGAATTGAAAACACTTAATTCATCAGAAGGACCTTCTGCATCGACCTGTAGAAAAAAATTTCAAGAAAAATCAAACTTGAAAAAAAAAATTATTTTGTTAAATTTTAAAAACTTTATCCCATAGCGAGCTTTTTAATTAGACATATTTTGAATTAACATGGCATGGAAAAAAGTTAGATATAGAAATGTTCTACAAATAATATTATTACACAAACTCTGTATAATTTACGGTTTTCGAGATATGGCCGTTTTAAAGTTTTTAATTTGTGACGTCATGGCTGCATATTGGATTTTTGACCTACTTGAAAAATCTGATTGCACACCTTCAAATACGTACCTACAATATACTTAAAAGCCCTAATAAAACCACTTGAGAGCATTATCAAGTACAAAATCACTACTGATGGTTCCCTTCTGTGATGTCATAATGACATCACAACTGTAGACTTGATGTTCTCTCAATCTACTAGTTTTTGGATGTTCCTTCAAATGAATACACACAACCTGAAAACAGTATTTAATTAACCTAAAACAGAGATCGTTGAACTTGGAATAAAGAATCCTATACATGAAAGAGATCATTTCTGAAATTCAGAACATTCTGCACACCAATAGGACACTTACAAATTGGGGTCTTTTCCAACTCCACAACTTGATGCATGTACTGGTAGAATATCTACAGGAAATTGCTCTCTACAAACAGGACACATCCCAGATTTCTCACTTTCCAGCAAGACTGACCTGTAAAATGAGTTGTGGAAATGTCCTCATGAATCTCTATGGCACCACTAATGTAACATACATATCTATTACAAAATGTACAGGTTTTCTTATTTAATGGTCTTCATTTTTAAGGGTTCAATAGGTAATTTTTACCAATAATCACTGTCTGAATGACATTAAAACATGTACATTGAATTAGTGGTTATCAACAACAATGGAAACAAAAAACAAGAAGACACGGTCATCAAGATCTCCTGTGCATGGATATAGTTTTCAAATACACCACATTACACTATTACAGTGTAACATACTTTTGAAATTTACTAATACAAATGCACTAATAGTTTCCCACATATGGAATGTCTAATTCTTCATATTTGGATTATTTATCATAGAAGCAGGAAATGTTTACTGCCATGTTTAGCATCTGCAACATGCATAAGTTATGCATTCACTTAGTAGTCTGCAATAAGGTACATGCTCAGATAAATGTGTTGATATGTCAATCCAAAGTAATGATACAGACCAACCCATTACCCCATGCTCTGTAATAACAACGACCTCACTCCCTTTCAGGACCACTGTTGAACAAGTTTGTCTACGTGTACATGTGTATCATTACTGTGATTACACTGTCTAATCTTCCTGTGCTTATTGATAGTAAAAATGGTGGAAATTTTGAATATTTAAATAAAAATAATTTTCTATTTGTTTAAGCATATTTATAAGAACACCGATAGAATCAGTGCAAGTGGTGTCACTTATTTACCCACACCTTGATACAATTTTCTCTTCCAGTAAATTTAAATACCACACTGACCTAAGTTTGACAGACATTTCCTTTAGACATATGTCAGCTGATTTACATGCAAAATGTAAAAACATTAAAAAACTCAACTAAAAGTTTGTTAATACTAGGAGAAATCATCTATAATGTACAATTGTAACCCTTGTAAACATTTGCTTGGCTTAAGATTCTCTCCTTACATACCATCATAAAACAACCTGACAAGCAGACTCTTTTCTAATGGATATTGTCAATATCAGTATCTGGGATATATTTTTGCCATTTATCTGCAAATTGTCTCCATTCTTTTTTAATCAGCCTTCACATATGAAATGATTTCTCCTCACAATCAACAATTCTTAGAATGTATACAACCAGTCAAAACAACACAAAATATGAGAGGGATTCTTCAAATCCTATCAGCTACATACTTTAGCAGCTTACATAATTTTGAATTCTAATGACTGCGTAGAACAATATTTGAGAAACTTCAAATTAAACATATCAAACATTTAAACTTAAAAGTTACTTTTGTTCATCTCTTGGGTACTGTCCTCCCCTCTCCGTCTCCTAATACACATGATAGACAAAAACATGTAATTATCAGTATATCACCACATGCATTGTAACAGAGATCAGGATAGCCAATCAAATCAACACATGCATGCATAAAATATCCATTCTTACCAACTCTCACACAGGAACCTGGTTAAACTCACCAATGACATTATGAAACTAACAGCAGTTTATTTCAAAATAACACACAAACTGGTGCAGACCTAGCATCACATCTACATATACTTACACATGTATAATGGCATACAGGCATTTGGTTTTTCCTCCTCTTTACCTTTGGAACATCTTCTTCCTAAACATTTATATAAAAATTACTACTAGTTAAAGTACTCGTCATTTCTGACATAATTTTCTGTATAATATGCTTTATATACTTCTTGCAGCAAGGTTTACATAGCAAGTCTTACTTATCATCATCATGATCAATGGCTATAGTCATATCATAAAATAGTTTAATGTAATATGCTGTAAACAGTTGAATAAATCACTTTTTAACTAAATTGTGATATTTGAACCACAAAACAATCTGCAAGGCCTAAGTTGTCATATTCTATGCCTATGTATTTTATGAACACTGACAACAGATGTTATTATGTCAAATATGCCCCCCTGAAACTATTAAATTTGTATTAGAAAAAACCATAAACTTACACAAAATGTAACATTTACCTCACTTGAGATGGATTGTGAACACATTTTTATGTGGTCTCTCAGCTGTGATAAGGGAATCGCAGTTTTACATTCCATACATTCTTCATACACTGTTTCAGAGGTTCCATCGATGCCCTAAATTTATAAATAAGAAATGCAGAAATTACTGATTTTCTCAATAATACTTAGTTTGATTTATTTTTGCTTTAGTTCCCATTAACAGCCAGGGTCATTCAGGGATGTGCCAGGTTTGGGTAGTGCAGGAAAGCCAGTTTCCGGAGAAAAAACAACGACCTGCTGACTGCCCCATGTAGGTCTCAAACCTGCCTCTCAGAGGTGGAGGATAAGTGATTAAGCAGGTCAGACGCCTTAACCACTCGGCCACAACGACCCCCTCTCAGTAATACAAATAATAAACAGGATTTCAACCAAATTGCACATTGTCTGCACTCATTTAATTTGAATTTTTATTAGATAACAGTATTACTTTGAATGATATTGGTAAACTTGGCAAGAAGGTTTATCATACATCATATAAAATTATGCAGCTCCATTTATAAAGCTAATTTTTTTAATGATTTTTTGATCTAGGAAGTAGAGGGTGTCCTAGTCAAATTCCGAAAATTGGGTAAGAGATCTGATCTGATGGCAATATGCTGACTGTGTTAACCATAATAGCATAAAAAGCAATAAGTAAAATGGCATTGATATATATGGTAATTATAAAAAGATATTAGAATTAAGCATTCACTAAAACAGATGTTCTGGTATTGACAGGGAATACCTGTGTGGATAAATAGTTGAATTAGAAGCTGTAAATTGTCACTCAATTGTATCCATTCTGTAAACTAGTGTGTCATTAATTTATTAATATACAAAATTAGATACAATTTTACATACCTTGTCATTGAAGTCATGTTTAACAAGTTCCAAATCCTTCTGGATTGGGCGAATATAGCAAACTGCTTGGCCAAGGTTGCTTTCGTTGGCAAAAAAGTTGGCATTGTAGCCATTTTTGGGGATTTGAAGCTTTTCCAGAAACACTCTGCTCCCCACTGTTGATTGAAGAAGTTCATATTCACCACATTTTTCCAATGCAGGGAAGCTCTCTTCAATCCTTTGTTTGAATAACAATGGGTCATCATTTTTTTGAAATGTAATTTTTTTCTCCCCAAACCCTAATTTGTACAATTTGTGTTTTTCTTCTCTGGTTGGCACTGTTTCCTGAAATAATATGAAATAATTCATACATTCCCATACTTAGGCTTAATTTAATGCTTATATGAAAACAATAACTAAATAAGTCCTACTATAGACAGAATTTATTGTTGGAATTGTTGGTTTGACATTACTCACTCCTGCATGCACATCTCTGGGTAAGGCCGTTCACCATAAAACATTTATTAATTATGAAATTAAGTTGTGGGTATTATCATAATTAATTGAAAAATAGAAAAACGATGTGGTACTGGTAAATAGTTAAGAAACTTTTACGTATGCCTAAGACATTAGTGCACAAGCTATGTTGTATTATTAGCACACACAGCAAAGATAGACCTCATATTCAAGACAAAACAATGCAATGTTGCCTACCTGACAAGTACTTTGTAAAATGCAGTAACGGTGGGTCCAGTAAGACACGGCTAATACACCTGTACCCGTTTGACCTCTCCGTTTTGCACCTCGCATGACAGATGATCCTCTGTTGTATGGGGAAAATACATTTCTTACCGCAGCTTGAACTGACATCTCACATGCACCTGAGTTTGTTTGTGGAGTAACGTTAGTTCTTCTCTCACTGCTTGGTGTCTCTGGTGCAGTATTCATCAATGCAGATGCTGCTTGTCGAAGCAGTTCAGCCGCACGCAACTGATTGGACATTTTTGTTCTGAAATTATGAAGAAAAATGTTAAGAATATTATATTTCCCTATGAATAACTACTTTAAATCTCCTACTTTGGTAAAGTTAGAAAAAATTGACCTGAGACCTATATAACACATAAATGTCTTTTATGCATCATTGAATTTATTCCTTTTATAATGTTCATAAATCTTGTATTTTCTGCGAAAGAAAAAAAAACACATTTCGGAGGTGGAAAAATTCTCATTATTACACCAACGACTATTAGGCTACACAACTTTATCTTTTTTTTTCCAAGAGTCATTTGATGATGACATGTATCTCCACTCTCCAGTATCACATATGCATGTCACTGTGTGGAAAGAATTCATTCCACTGACTATATATATTCATTTATCTTCCTCCTCCTTATATATAGTAGTTATTATATGATACAATACATGGGGTCACAGTGACTATAAACCTGTAAGATATAACTAAACAACCAACCAATGTATCCTACGTACGTGTAAAACCTTCACGTGTCACTGTGACGTACGTCTCTGGGTAGGGCTAAGCTGGTTATACTGTACATTACGGTCGGAGATATTACGCGTGTAATGTACATGGTCAATGAATTGGCGTTTTGATCTGCAGCTGTTAGTTGAGTCCTGTACCTGAATTACTAGTAGCTATATGTTGTATGTCAAAATGTGTGACGATCGACCCGCGTCTTTACCTCTGAGCCAAAATGATGATCATAAAGTGAGACTTTATCCTGGCCTCGCTATAACTTTATGCCCAACCACGGGATGAAATATTGTCAACATATACAACAAAGTATCATGTACTTAATTTAAATCTTTGTACATGTATATCTTCTGAGGTAAGGCTAATTCTCTACGATTATTGAGTTTTTAAGAAATTGATATCGACAAAATACTCACCTGATGTCAAAGTGGCCCTCCTCTTACTCTAGATTTGGCGCTATTAGTTTCGTAAAAGGGGAGAAATCCTTTTTTGTTCTTGCATTGCTCAGCGCCATCTATCGATAAAAACACGCAGCGTTCCAACTAGCTTTCGTCTTCGTGCTTTGTGGTTCATAATATGCGTCGTCCTAAATGCAGTGCGTTACTAACAAACACCAACAAGAAGAATGCAATAGGCAACCAGCATGTACAAATGTAATAATAAACCAGGAAACAAGATGAACGAGGATGAAAAGATGATGGAATAGAATTCAGGATGACAAAATGAACATGTAATGAAGTGACACAGAAGTACAAATGTAAACATGAATATGTGAGGAAGACGAATTGGAATGTAAGAAAGATACATAGACTTTTGGCGGGCATACCCTTCCATACCCGAGCCCTGTGACCAAATACTTCACCCATCTTGGCTTTTGTGAGTGCATCGGCACTGTCCTTAGGTCCACCAAGTGTAACAAACATTGCAAGTTTCTCTGGAAGAGAGGAAATAAACTTTGACAAAATGTCAATATCAGTCTTGCCTATACGTCGAGCTTTTTCTGTAAGACGAGAATGGAAATCATCCAACGTTTCTTATTGACCGAGAGTGAGTGCATTGAATGCATTGGTCTCGATTAGAAGAGTGGGTGTAGCGGATGTCAGTGATGTAGTTTTCGGAATAATGACACCACATAAGACAAGTTTTTATTTGGAGATTGTTCGAGATATACCAAGTCTGGGCGGAACCCCTCAACAAAAGGTAAAACAAGGAACATTTCTGTTCATCATTGGTAATAGAATAAAGTTTCGTGTAGGCAATAAATTCCGTCAAAAATGTCTGCGTTCTCATGACACTGACCTCCAAATTCATGTAGTTTTGACATATCTACGGCTGGAGCAGTCGAACGCGACCTCACTTGACTGTCGGAATCAGTGCGGGGACGTTCGAATTTAGCATCACCATAAGTATCATTCAAAAAGTCATCATCAATATCCAGTTCATTATTTTGTAGGAACTGATCATCCAAGAAATCGTCATCCATGGTTAGGCTATAGTCTATACACGTGGTCCCCAATACACATATGAACACTGATGAACAGGCTTCGAGTGATGAAAAATAAAGTTCGATTTACGACGAATTTACCGCATAAAACACACAAAAAGACCATTTCCATTACCTTGCGGTTACCGCCGTTAAATCAACCGGAAAGCAACAACATAATAATAAACATATAAACAAAAGGACCCGGACACCGGGTCAAATATCCGGAATGAACAAAATAATCTGAAACAACCTGACCAGTCATATAGGTGTATATAACAGTTGATTGGACCATTAAATAATATAAATCCTGAATGTGAGGCTGCTGTGAAAAGAGTCAAATATAAGGAACTTGAAAACTATCATTGGCATGTTTGTACTTTATCTTGGATCCGTAACACAGGCTGACCGGAAGTGTATTTTTTTAAAACAATTAATGTTTATATATTCAGAAAACTGTCAGTCTGTACCGGAAGCTACCGATTACCATGGTCACTTTATTTCAAACAGCTTGAGCGAGTGTTTTGATATCGAGTTTATTCTCCCCCAAATTTTGTTAGTTTGAATTCATTTTAAAACTCTTTTATTTTCGTTATTTGTTTTTTTTTCTTCCAAACATATTTTCTATGTTGATGGGCCATTATAAATTTATGAATAATGAAAAATTACAAATTTGGGCAGAATTTCCCTGTACACAATGCCACCAAATGAATAACTTTATAGGCAGTCATTGAAGCTGCAATGCGTTAATTTAGAATTCAATTTGGTAATCTGAGATTTTTTTTAAAGTGAAATACACTTGCGCGTTTTAAAAGAGGTCACCTTAATTTCAAATATGTAATACGATCTTAAAATGTATTTTCGTATTCAAAATCTTCGGTAATCAGACGGTGCTCTGATTAGCAAGGCGCATTCGCCTTTCACCTAGACGACCGGAGTTCGATTCCCCGGTTTGAACGTGAAATGGTATGAGTTCTTATGTCTGAATACTTGATTTTCTTCCCTAAAGCCTGACACCTAGCGCGTTGCGATGCTGATCAATAGATTTGTTTTAGCTGTAAGCTTGTTTCCAAAGTGTTGCAAAATGAAAAAAAAATCTAAAAAAAATCGTGAATGATTACCCATATGATTCATTAAGACTTACTTGTCAATACCGATAATTTCTTTTCTGTGTAAAAACACGGTATAAAGTGAACCACTTTGTAAATAAGACGCCATTATTTTTTATTGAGGTAACTAATTAAAACAGCGTTTTTTGCATGTATTCTTTGTTAAGAAATCGATACCTATTGATCCGACCCCCTGCTTCACATTTGTTTCGCAGAAAAATAACGAATACCGTCATAGATTAAATATCAGATATTTGTTTTGGATACGGGTGTATGTACTGATGTGACTGATAATCTTTTCTTGGTACAGAAAAAAAACCATTTAACTCTCCATTAGTAACACAAAGAGGAGATCAATTTATTTCGAGAAAATATGGGATTTCAAATACTTCTCAAAGGCCTCTATTAACCGATAACTCTACATTCACAGACACAACGCCATTTCAACAATACATCCACGCATCGTTTCTAATTTTTTAATTAGAGCGTTTCAAAAACGGATACGGATATATTGATCTCCGATAGAGGAGTTTGTGTTCGTGTAAACAAAATAAAAGAACTCAAAAATGTGTTTATATTACGAAAACCAATAAATGCTGTCGTATTATTACGCTCACAACCTGTGTTTTCTGTATCACAGACGTATTTTTTCAAGTGTTTACATACTGTTAATGAATGTTCCGGATAACATGGAACGTGTACGTTTATTTTATTGGTAAACGACGACTAGAGCTTAAGGACTGTAAATTTGGTGATAAAGTATATGCTTTAACAACTCAGTTGGGAAATCAGGGTTTGTAATGACAAACAAAAGCCAAATTATAATGTTTATGGATCTTCTGGTGGTAATTCCTTAGAAAAATTATGAAATACGATACTTCTATTTATATTGTAAATTATAGTTATCACAACTAGAAATTCTTTGAATTGAATGACAATTGATTCTTGGTCCTAACTACCGTGGAGTGTCTAATTTCCGATCCTCAATGGCGCCGGACTGTTTGTCCGGATATGCAGCACCAGACAAGCATTCACAAGGGACCAGAGGTTAATGGATGTGGCAACACATTATGTAGACTCGGCTAAAGAAGAAGTGACCCGATACACTTAACGGAAGAGATCGTTAAAAAAGTTTGATTATCATTAGTGCAAATTCGGTATTAATTAAGAAACGTGACATTCAATACGTTTTAAAGTTGTTATCTCAAACTATGCCTTGTCATGAAAAACACTTTACAGATTAATAAAGCTTATAATCTAAAGTGTGAATCGAGTCAAATCGAACTAATTATTTACAAATTAGTGTCGAATCAAACTGAAATTCTAAGAATGTATATCAAAAGTGTGTATAAGAAAAAAAATAGATATGCGTTTCCAGTTTCTGTTTGAAAAAATTAGGGTCGGTAGGATATTTTTATAAATGTTTACTTGGTTTTGACACGGACTTCTGAAGTGTCGCTCATTGATTAGGGATTGGTTTACACTTAAATATCTGGTATGTACATCTGTCGCATATGTGAAGTACAATGTTTATGTTTATCTAGTCCAAAGGGCTCTGACTATCTCTCCGCTTTTTTATTTTTGTCTTGATCGAAATCGATAATCAACTTTTCTCCCATTATAGATAGCACGAACTTTTAACGACCGGCGTTCTGGAATTTTTTCTATCGACTTTCATTCTTGTCAAAGCATTTAAATATTATAAACTAAGTTTTTCAATTCATTTTCCCGAACAAGTTTACTTTCCAGTATATTTACAATGGGCGCCACTACACGGATTCTCTCTAGACTTGTCGATGTAAACCCACTGTTTCCGCCAATCTCGCGAGAGTTTAATCTTTGTTGGATTTAAAAAGACAACTCTAGAGATATTCCGTATAGTGGGGGCCATTTTAATTGCTACGTTACAAAATTTGACACATATGCAATCTAGTAGACAATGTTTTGTCTTTCAATCGATGTGTTATTTTGAACAACAATTCTGTTGTAAATTATATAAAACGTGGTCTGAAAGTCTATCAATATTGGTCGAAAGGTATAGATTTACTGTTAAATGACATGGACAGTACTAACAGAGCTCCGTCATAAACGTAATTTCTTTGCCATACGAACCCAGGTTTTCACATGACATCAATACTGAATGATGGATATACATCGCCAATGTGAAATTAAATATACATTGCACCGATGTATAACACATTAATACATATTAGCTAGCATGCCGTATATATGCCTGTGATCATGAAACCGTGAATATATTTACATGGATGGTCGGATAGTGCTGTGGTAACGCACTCGTCTTTCACCAAGACGTCTTCCCGACCACGTGGGTTTTCCCCCAGGTACTCTAGGTCTTCCTCCCACATTGAGACCCTTCGCACGCTTATCCGGGCCTTCACGAGTGATTACTACAATCTGAAAAAAAACTTGTTTCGCAATTGTTGTGAAACAAATCAAATTTAGTTAATGTACATGTAATAACTCGGCGCGTGCAATATTAAATGCATCCATTCCATCTCCATTAGTTACTTACTTCGTTGTCATTACATTCTTCCAAACATAGCCTGGCCCGAACGTTTTCAGCCTGCCGACCCTGATGATGCGTCACTGTCAGACATTAACGTTAACAGAATAGCTACGTCAGTTAGTGTACATATGGTAAATGATATGCAGACAATTTTAAAACATCCCACTTCCTGTTAAACAACAATTTGTCACTATGCTGGTCCACGTAACCCGACTCGAGGTTGAAAACGACGATCTTCGTCACACGCTTCTCTTGGTTTTAGAACTGGAAGGTGATGACACTTCTAATACCATCCCCCATTGGACCAAGCAGCCCATGAACGCAATGTCGACCTTCATCCCAAGGTAGTGGAACGCTCACAGAGTCTGTAAACCGGACCAGAGTAGAC